GCGTCAACGAAGTTCCTCGTGAGGTCTTGGACCTCCTGGGCTATGCCAGGGGCGCGGTGCAAACACTTGGGACACTGTCCTTTGCACGCTCTGCTGCCCATGAAGGGCCAACTATTCGCTGCACTCATGTGAGTGAGGCTGACGGAGCAGTCTGGCACGAGCTCCAAAAGCGCTGCATGGGCAAGGATGCCCGCCGCAACAGATCTATGTCTGTTGGCTTTGCAAACCACGTGCACGGCTATGGACCTGATCCCAGCGTCCTTAGCGTCAAGGACGTTCGCCACGATGTGCCTGACGTGGGCGATCAGGTTAGGGTGGTCCGCGTGCTCCCGAATTATATCGGGATTCGACCCAACATGCTTTGTGCGGTCGCGCTGTTCGTCGTTGCGCTGTTGGGCTTCTGCTGGCGTCAGATCGTCTTTCCGATCGTCCCTGAGCCACACCATGTCCAACATCACTAGCATATAGCTAGTGGCACTCGCATACGTCGTGAGCGCATGCGTTTCCATCTCTTCGTGCTGTGCGAAGAGCTCGGCCGCCGTCCACTTCCCTCTGACGCGTTGCAGCCAGGCATGGTGCTCATAGCCCCAGGTAAAAACATCAATAATGATGTCCGGGTTCGCTGTGTCCCCCGCATAGAACGGCTGCAATGCCAAATCCGGATTATACACGGTTGCTGGAAGAGGAGTGTCGAGCTCCGGACCATGGGGTCCACCACCTGCCATTATAACCAGGGGCCTGTTGTGCGGGTCCTTCTTCACAACCGCATCAAACTCGGCAAGCTCGCGGTGCCCTCGCGCGATCTCCTTCGGGTGCACTGTGGCACGAGCTGCCGGCGGGTTCCCTGGGCTATCCCCAGGCCTAGCCTTCTCTGTGGGAGGCGCCTTCTTCGGCAAGCCACTACCTGGCGGCGCCTTAGGTGCAGGCGCAGAAAAGGTACCTCCTGCCGGTGCGGCACTGTGGCCGACCGCTGGCGAGATCGCCATGGCACTGTGGCCAGGCTCCGGCGCTGCTGAAATCTTCGGTGCAGCCTTTGCCGTCGGGGGCGCCTTCTTAGGCAGCTGCCCCTCCTCTGCGGCCATCGCGGCGGGCTCCGTGTCTCCTACGGACGTGCCTACCATGCAATGATTCGGGAACGCTACGCTTATACGTCGCTTAGTGTTGTTGCGATTCTCAGCTGTGGTTGTGAAGCTGTGACCGTGGCCTACGCCTAAAGTGCTATGACCATGGCCTGCATCTACAGTACTGTGACTGCGACTTGTTGCCACTGCGTCATCTGCCGCTGTTGCATCTCGAGGGGTGCTCACAGACTCTGAGTGAGCTAAGGCGGCGGCGGCGGCAGACCTAAATATAGGAACTGGCGGTGAGGGAATTTGGAAGCTTCTTATGAGACGGGGTTGCTTCACCTGAACCAAACCTTCTGTTATGTTTATGCATAACAGCCCTGAGTCATGTGTCCGACACAGCTTGATCCTAATGATGCTATCCTCAGAAGGAAGTCGAACACCACACTCGCCAAACCGAAGATCCTTGGTTATACCAAGTTGGGCCTGGGCGTAAAGGGACAAAAGGAGAGGGGCTGTACCCTTAATCTCGTGAGAATCAAGGACGCCCGGAACTCTCAAGTCCTGCTCCAATCCCATTATAGAGAAAGGTATGGTCCTGCTACCCAGTGTTTCGGTAGCACCGCTAAGACCCTTGAAGGTACGATTGCCCTCAGGTTTAAACCTCGTGCTGTAACCGAAGTTCGCAAGTTTCCCCGCCGCGTTTGCTATCCAATCGCTACCGTGAACAGTCGAGTTACAGCCCTCATCCAACACGGCGTATACGTGCTTATCCTCGTAGATATTTACTACGGGCAAATCAACCAAAGCCGGATGGATATCTGTGACCCCCTCAGTGAAAGCCACGAAGGCGTGCCTCGTCGCGGAGGCCCTCGAAGAGCGCGATCTCGCCGACGCCACTTCCCAACTGTTGTTGGTCGATGACGCGGAATGATCATCTAAGGCCTCTTGCAGGTATGCGAGAAGGTCACCGCGAGATATCACGGGCTCGGTTACGAAATGACCCTCTATGGTCTCTTGAAACTGGGCAATAGCCGGAACTACTACCTCTACGGGGAGGCTATCCCCCGTGCTGCCGACTATGCTGCGCAAAAGGTCGAAGTCCAGGGTATTGGACTCCCGCAGCACTGTGGCTGCGTCATCCCTAGCCTTTCGCTCGGTCTGCGGCTGCTCATCTAGAAGCATCCCACAAAGCTTGCACTTAATGCGGGAAGTCTTCCTACTGCTACCCGACCTCTCGGTGGAGGTGTGGGGGCATGTGGCCTGGTCTATGACAGGCTTCTCTTTCTTCGTCTTGGTGACGGTGCCGCATTTCTTACAGGTCCGCATGTCTATGTATGCGTTACTCCCCGACTTGTTGAACTCCTTGCAACCTCCCCGGCATTTCCGGGGGCCTTCGCTGGACGAAGCAGCTGACGCGGCGAGGCGAACCTCGGGCTGAAAGGGTTCAGGCGGGGGCTCCTGGCTGAGAGGAACATCCCTTCTCGTGATGCTAATGGGGTTGTCATCACGCACATCAAAGTACTCCGTGACCCAATCCAAGAAATCGGCCAAATTTATGGATGGGCACTTCTGCGTGCGTCCCCAAAGAACATATCCAGGAAACGTATACAAGACACGCTCATAAGTCAGACCCTTATGCTGACCAAAAGAGAACACGCGATCAGAACCCTCAGGCGGGCTGTCACGCATGATCCTAGCGGCGGCTGTGCGCCGGAGCTGCGGTGAGAAGAGGGGTTCATTGCCGCGGCCTTTGCCGGTATTGGTCCTTGAGGGAGTCAGCTCAAGATTGGCTGGGTAACCCTCGAGCCTACCAGCGCTCGCATTCGACAGGTGGACACACTCTGTGTCGTCATCCTCCTCCACTGCGGCGAAATACGCCTGGGGCTTCGGCGCCGCCGGCTTTGCGGCTGCGTTGGCAGTTCCTCCAGACTGTGCTGGGGTTGTGGTGCCCTTGGGGCCATTGCCCTTACCACTAAACTTGCAGGCAGCATCTCCGGCCCAATGGCCGATCACGCCGCACTTCAGGCACCTACTCTTTGCCTTAAGCTCTGCCAACTTGGCCTTACGATCAGCAATAGTCAAATTGCTACGCACGACCTTCCCACCGGATTTTCCGGAGGACTTGCCCTTGTTCTTCCCTTTTCCTTTTCCTTTTGCCTGGGCAAAGGCGGTTTGTGCCGCGTACGCAAGCTGAACCGACTCGGCATAGGAATCATCCAAATCGTCAATTTCAGCTTCATATGCCACTGCCGTATAGGCGTTGAGTTGCAATGCTAGGTCTTCATCATCAATCCATTCATCCGCATCATCTCCCCCAGACGCTGTGGCCTGGTATGCTTCCTCGCCGTAGCCGTCACCGTAGCCTTCCGCGGATTCCTGCTGTTCCTGGTGACCATACTCTGCGGCACTACCATCATACCCCATGTAACCAAACTTAGGGTACTGCGGCTTAGCGTCGAAACGTCTCCAGGTCTTACCTGGGCCACTAGGGTCCTTCTGGGTAAGAAGACGTTCCTTCATGTGCACCACTGAGTGATGCTGAACAAGGACGCGTGCGTACTCATCCACGGTGTGTACGCGGGCAGCGGTCTTGACCATTAGCTGTTCGTTCCTTTCCAACCCTGAAAGCTCAACAAGGAGATTAGCCCTCATTGCTTCAGAAAGGCGGATATCAGGATCTAGCTCACGCAAGGTCGACCACCACCGCTTTCGGCGGGCTATGTAAGACAACATAGGCTCGCCGGGTTGCTTTGCGAGTGGGCCCGTCAGGAGCTGTCCCTGACGGAAAAGTTCGGACGCCTCTTCGGATTGAAGAGGGAAAGCTTGCCTCCTGATTTCTTCTATCAGGTAGTCGACGCCATCATGGCGTAGCAGACGTTCCAGGCCGACGTCGCGAGCAATGCAAAAGGCGTCTCCTCGGAGACCCTCCAAAATCTTGCTAACGCATTCGCTCATATCAAGCGACTCGTCCTTAATGTCTTGCAAGGTGTACACCGCCGGATCTGTGTCCGGCTCCTGCTCATCGTCGCCCGCCACTTGGCTGGGGTGCGACGGCAACGACTCCGCATCCTCATCTTCTGCCTCGGACGCGGGCTTAGTCCGTTTTGCGCTGGACGGACTGGCGGGTATACCGCTGCTTCCATCACCATCTGTGGGCGATGCGCTGGTCCCCTGACTTGCCCTGCCACGCCACTTCCTTGGTGACTCGCTCTTGGCCCTTGCCGACTCGGCAAATCGCAGGCCCTTAAGAGCTTCTCGCCGCTGCTTCTCCTTATGTTGCAGCACACGGATCTGTGTCCGGAAGCACCAATCGTGGAAGCCAGCAGCCGTACCGTCGTATATGTACGAACCGCTTTTCGTTTCTGCAGGGCTCAGGTTCTGTGACCAGAGATTGGGCTGGTAACGCAAACCTGCCACGCTCATGGCTTCAGATAGAAGGGGCCTTTGCGCCGCGACTATCACTACTCTACCCAACGGACCCCGGACCACAGGCTCTACGGGGGTGAAACACTAGTGGTTGTCCTCACAGCTCCGCTACCAGTTTGAAGCAGGAACTGGATTAGTGAGTGTCCAACCACACAACGAGCGCACTTTTTGGTCTGAGCCCAAGACGTCTGTCGTACAGGGTGCGTTCAGAACTGTCTCAAAAACTATCCACGCATGAGGACATGTCAACACGGCGCTTCAAGACAGGGAAATTTCACAGGTTCAGAAGTGACTCGGATGCCCAGTAGCCTACCTGGGGATCCGAAACCCTACCGTTTTAAGGGTTCTACCCTCTAATTAAGGGGTCATAACCTACTATTTTGTAGGGTTTGGGGCCACAGGTAGGAATAAAAAGGGCTCCCTTTTTGGTATTGGGTAACTTTACAAGGAGCTCCTGCGCATGCTAGTTAAAGTCGTATGATATGGGTTTTGTCATTTGCATGGGGTTTAGAGTCCGACATACCCTCCTTGAAACCAACAAGCAACGTCCAAAAGCTCACTTTAAAGAGGATATGATCGACTGTAATGGCCGTTTTCGTATGTTCTAAGAAGTAAGAAGTGTAAGGCGGCTTATAGAGTTTAGGAGCTTAGGTTTTACACTCAACCCTTACCTTGCCAGAGGCCCAAGAAACCTAGCCCGATTCGTCTTATGCAGCGCTTAACTGATAATTATCGAATTGGCTACAACTGTACAAGAACGGATCCTGTAGTCAAGAAAGAAAGCTACCTAAGCGAACTGTAATGTATAAATACATATATATATATATATATGTATACATATAATATATATATATATATATATATATATATATATGTACACACACACACACACACGGAACTAGGTATAAGCCCTATAACGTCCCTTTCAGCGCCGGACGGCAGCTTGCGTGGCACGGTCATGGGCGGCCGGTGCCTTTCCGCTGCCTGAGGCGATGACTCGTAGCGCGCACTATGCAGTTGTTGTAGGATGTTTTGGGTTCATCACAATGTGGGAGTTTCCGAAACCCTAAAACCCTATAGATCCCTTAAAGAAGCCCCTTACAGGTACCCTTATAGATCCCTTTAAAGGAACCTCAGGATTTATATGGGAGTTTCCGAAAATAGGGGGACCCTCATATACTACCCTAAATAGAAGGATCTTTCAGGCCCCAAAACAGGGTACCCCTAGTTTTCGGAAACTCTAAACCCTTATAGAGCCCTTTAAAGGAACCCCTTATAGTACCCTTATAGTAGCCCTTTAAAGGAACCCTAAGGTACCCCCAAATAAGCTTCATGATGTACCTGGGGATCCGAAACCCTACCGTTTTAAGGGTTCTACCCTCTAATTAAGGGGTCATAACCTACTATTTTGTAGGGTTTGGGGCCACAGGTATACCCTGCTAAGAAACCCCTACCGTAAAACTGATTACAATAGGGATCCGAACATTACGGAAAGAGCGTGGCTTTATTCATCAGGGGTCTACATCAGGGTTGTGTCATCTCTGACGTCTTTGTAGGCTTCTTCATGCGGTTGCAGATTCAAACGTCTGGCTTGGGTTCAGAGTTTAAAGGGTAGGGTTTGAGGCGTAGGGCTTAGGGTTTAGAATTAAGGGCAGATTGGGAAGAACGCTTGATTAGAGTACATTGTTGACATTGCGGGTTAGCGAGCGCTTAGGGATTGACCGGGATGTAGCCTTAAGGACCAAATGACCCTTAAAAGAAGGCGCCCCGTACAATTATACGATGAATCCCAATAAGGTATATGAACCCTAAACCTTTTCAGGGTTCTTTTCGTCCTTAAGACTCGAGGTTCATAGCCTTAGGGATTGCTTAAGAGCTCCGATTCGGAAGCTCAGGCTGGTAGGGCAACTAAACCCAAAGCCTAAAGCCTAAACCCTACCAGGACCTCCCAAGTACCCTTTAAAGGGCTCTAACATTTCTCATTAAGAAGTAACTAAGGACGACAATAAAGGGTAGTTGGGGGAGGGGGTGGGGGGGGGCCAGGTCAGGTAAACCCCAAACCCTAAAGCCTGACGTTGGGTCTTGTTTTCAGCTCCCTTCTTAGCACCCTGGCATAGTGTGCTTCTTCGGCACATACTTGGGTCTGGGCGTTGGGATTGCATCCTTCTTGGAACATCATGGGACTCAGGAAGTAATGTTACATGTACCTTAACTACGAGTTATAAGTATAGTTCGATCTCTCATTAAATAAGTCCCATGATCCTTTTAAGTTCTGGTCATGTCAGGACGTGGGCGAGTGGGAGAGAGGGAGAGAGAGGGGGAGAAGGGGAGAGGGGGAGGGAGAGAGGGAGAACCTTGGAAGAACCAAGGTGTAGTTGGACAGTTGCGACCTGCGTGATTTGTACAAACCCGGAATCCACTCGCGAACTTCAACAGAACACAAACCCGTAGAGCCTACCTGAGTCGATTGAACACTTGAAGCGCCAACTACTCCATCCAAAGACAGACACTCTTCCATCCAGCACAGGTTTATGCCATATGGTTCAGGAATACAAGTTGCACCCCCGATGTTTCTTTTTCTCGAAGTGCCGATCAAACTAACTTCGCCTCGACCGTCACAAAATCTGATGTTGGTCATCATGTTCAAGAGCCAGCCCTGTTCATTCAGTCGTTCCTAGGATGAAAACTTTCAATTTCTGCCCCACCTACCCACCCACCTGCTACGGCAGCCGGATCTCGGAGTTCCTAAACGGCAGAACCCCACAAAATCTTTAATTACAGACTCCAGCGGGTTACGGTAAGCTTTAGGGTTTAGGACTTGTGCTGAGGTTGCTGCCCACGCTTGATGGGCGGACGTCCATTTCGCCAATTCCTGCTCCTGCGCAAGGTCACCACAGGTCGGGCTCCTGTGCAATTACTCGCTAGATTCAACAAATACAACAACCGTTTAGCGTTTGGGGAAAATACAACAGTTACAACAACTGTAACTACGAAAAAAATATTTCTATTATTAAAACTATAATGATTATCAATATTACGACAACTACAACCACGACCACCACCAACAACAACAACAGCATAACAAAAAAACAAACAGTCGTGGAAAGTAGTATGTGTATATACATACATACCTATATGTATATATACATACACATACAGAGAGAGTAGGAACTGATAACTACAATGATAGCCAAGAACCACCAATAGTGATATGACGATCATGGCCATCATCGCCGTCATAGTTGAAAACTACGACGACGACGACCACTACTACTATGATACTGATACGAAGACTGATAGTCATGCTAACACCAATGCTAATACTAATGCTAATACAAGAACGAATACTAATACTGCACTATCTCTACCACTGTTACTAATTGCGACAACTACCATCATCATAACCATATCCACGACGCATCATAAAACTTGTAACCCCTCGACCTTTGCAAGCACAAGGGTTTAGGGGTTGAGGGTCAAGGGGTTAAGGGTTATTGTTTGGGGGTTTATGGTTTAGGTTTCGGTTTTGATTCTCACCAACACGAAAATATTATACATAATATATATATATATATATATATGTATATATATATATATATATGTATGTATGTTTTATTATGTTTTCTTTATTTTTTATCTGCATGAGACATGCCTCAACCCTAAATCCTGGGAATTGTTCGGGCCTGGTGGCCGTCGGCCAGGACGGTCACCTCGTCGTCCTGGCAGAGCTCTAGCATTTGGCTTTCAGGTTGGAGTAAACCCCTGAACCCTAGACCCTAATCCCTGAACCCTAACCCCTAAACCCTTTAATCCCTAAACCCTAATCCCTAAACCCTAATCCAAAGACCTTCAGACCTCAACCTATCGGTATGCGTAGCGCTTTAGTTAGCGTGGTTTGCCCTTATACCCCGTTGTGCTAGAGGGCTTAAGATTTGGCTCACAGGATGTCGGATAAACTGTTCCGATTTTGTGTAAAGGGTTTTCTTTGCTGGTGTCTTTAAGGTCTTGATTTTGATAAGGGGTGTGTGGTGGTGCTTATAGGGGTCCTTTGCAGATTTTCTTGGGTTCTATAAGGGCGTATAAGGTTTACGGTCAGCGTTGCGGGTCAGAGGATGTAGGGTGGAACTGGGGTTATCCTGACGGCAACAAGGACCCATGCCGGGCCCAAGTGCAAGATGCGAGGTTTGAAGATTTGGGCATGCTGCATTTTAGCGTCCCTGAACATAGCATCGTACTACTTATCGCCTTATAATGCTGGGATCCCTTGTTCCTCCCCCCGCCTCAAACCCTTAACCCCAAACCGAACCCTAAACCGAATCCCCAAACCCCAGACCCTACCTAAACCCTCTCACCCTAAACCCTGAACCCTAGGCCCTAGACCTTAACCCACCAGAACCTACCTTTTTGTGTAGGGTCCCCAGAAATTCCATCTTAGTGCTTATAGTAGGAACCTACAAGAAAAAAAAACAAGGTTTTGGTGGGTTGAGGTGTACCTTAAGCCAAAAATCCTTGATGTAGGGGCTTATGGCATTCCGTATCCTAGTCAACGGTTCGGATAGTATTAAAATTGAAGCTTCTCTTCCTTCTTGGGCATAAGTATCCACATAAAAGTAAAAACGCTACCTATCGATGACAACGCTTCAAGTTATAATCATCTCAAGGATCCCTTATAGCATCTTAAAGTAACCCTTTGAAGGAACCTAGGCCCCTATATTACGCCCTCAACACTAAGCCCACGACCTGGGGTGGATCCGACAGCTCCGGGAATGGAGCCACTTCGAAGCCGGGATCCTGGCATGCAAGCTGGCTGGGGTTTAGGGTTTGTTATCGGGTTGTAGGGAGTTTCTGGGGGGCCATGAAGATTTTAGAGGTGTTCATACAGGGTTTGGAGGTTAGGGCCTAGGGCTTGGGTCGGTGGCCTTTTTGAAAGTGTGTCATAAACTCTCAACCCTAAATCCTAAACCCTAACCGCTCGGGCCTCTGGCTGATTGAAAGGGTGTCATAAACCCTCATCCCTAAACCCTAAACCGCTTGGGCCTCTGGAGGGTGTCATAAACCCTCATCCCCATATATCCCCATAAGCCACCTGCAGACCATCCTCAAGAGGGGCTTCGGCAGGGTCGCCTCAGCTGAAAGCTCGAGACAGAGGCTTTGGGAGGGGAAGGCAGAAGCTTGAAGATTTAGGACTTTGATTTGGTTGGTTTCGATATGTCGATGGCTTAGTGCTTGCACACTAGCGTGGTTTAGGGCCATTAGGGTCCAGGATTTAGACTGCAGTGTAAGCCTCAAATTGCCAACTAAACCCTCAAACCCCTATACCTCCTAAAACAGCAAACCCTGAAACCCTACACCTCCTAAAACCCTACACCCCTAAGCTCATAACACTGAACCCTTAACCCTACCCATACGCTCCATTGTAGTTCCTATTCTGAGGTTACCTTATAGGATCCTAAGTATAAGCCACAAAGAGGACACTGTGCCTTTCGCCCGGTTTAGGGTTTGATGGGAGGCCGAAAGGGTGTTTAAGATTCTTGGGGTACGGATTCCTTAATATGAACCCTATTCTGGGAACCCTAATCCCTACTAAACCCCCATAGGCTAAAACCCCTTTTGGCCTCCTATGATACCCTTATAGATCCCTTTAAAGGAACCCTTAGAGATCCCTGTAAAGGAACCCTATTAGGATCCCGAAACCCCATAGGCTAAACCCCCTTTTGGCCTCCTATGACAGCCGACGCTCAAGGCTCAGATCGCGGCTGGGAATTTCTAAAACCCGGGGTAATGTAGGAACTTGATCAAGAGTTTCCTTTAAAGGGGTCTATAAGGGTTACTATAAGGGATCAATAAGGATTTAGTATAGGGGCCTTAATGAGTAGAAATAGGAACCCCATTAAGAAACCTTGGGCCTTTCTGAGAATCCTACGATTTTGAGGTTATAGGCCAAGGGTTTCGTAATCAGGTTCTTACATTATCTGGTTTAGAGGATCATGGGACTTAGTACCTTCAAGGGTTCCTTTAAGGGATCTATAAAGGTTCTCTAGGGGGGAGTTTAGGTTGGCTTCTCGTTTAGAGGTCCTTACAATGGTGATCTTACCAGGTCCTGCCACTTGAGGGTGTCAAAGGGTTTCTTGCTTTGCCGAAACTCTTGCCTAAACCCTACCCCGGACTTGTGGATGCTGAGCAGGGGCCTGATATAGCCTGCGATCCCTGTAAACACTTCAAACTCTAAGTTTCACATCGGTCTATGCAAATGTAGACGGTAAACTCCTTCTTGCAATTCCCCGAGGCTCTCTAAACCCTCTACACCCTAAACCCAAAGCCCTAAACCAAAAAGGGCGCACTTTGGTCATCAGTATTGGGGTTTAGGGTTTAGGGGTTAGGGACCCTAAACCGTTAAACCCTAAACCCCGAAACCCTAAAACCCTAAACCCGCGTACTGCCAAAGCACTGGGCACAGCCTCCGGCTCAGGCTGAGAAGACGCCTACGATGCTAGGGTTCCTTAAAAGGGGTCTTGAGGGGCTGCAAAATGGGGGCCGTAATAATTAGATTGGGGTTCCTTAAAAATGTGAATAGGGTTCCTTTTAAGGGGTCCATATTAGAGGGTAACAGACAGGCTTTTAGGGCGCTTTTGGGGTTGCATAAGCAACCTGAACTTCAAAAGGAGAACCTAAACTCCTGACCAAGCCCAATACCATTCGTTTAAGGAGCAAAGCTAAAGTCTTGTTGTTAAGCTTCATAATGTCAGGCCTTATTCCTTAATTAAATGGGCTCTCTGGGACGGACGGAACCTTCAAACCTAAACGGTGAGTGAAAGGCTTGCCGCATTGTGCTAGGATATTTGCAGTGCTGGTTGGAGGTTAAGGGTCGGCATGTAAGGGTAGTTCTCTATAATAATATGATGGTCCCTTTTGGCGCCTTTCCATAAGAGTGCCGTGCGATCCTGGATGTGAAACGGGCCCGAATGGAGAGAACTACTCATTTCATGCAATCTTCGGAGCTTGTCGGGCTTCGTTCTTTGCTCGACAGGCCCAAAACCCAAAACCCTAAAATACTAAATCCTGAAACCTTAACCCTAAACCTACACCCTAAACCCAAAAACAGTTTTGCACAGCGGTCATACTATGCCCATTCAAGGTGCTGCTTTGTCGATTGCTCAGAGAGCCCAGAGCCCAGTACCCCTAGATTAAGGAATATACGTTAAATGATGATAATGGAGATTTCTCAGAGAGAGACCAATACCCCTAGACTAAGGAAAATACGTTAAATTTACTGATAATGGAACTCAATATTATGATTTTAGGGGTATTCTTCAAGGGGTATTGGGCTCTCTAGGTACACCCTCCTCCGAAGCAAAAGTCACTGACGAAAACAGCCCCCGAATTAAAACCCGTGGCTAGCCGTTTAATTAGGGTTCAGGGTTTATAAGATTTAGGGTTTAGGGTTTAGCTTTACGGCTTAGGATTTAGGCTTCGTTATGCTTTCTTGCCGGAATTCACATGTATCCAATGGCAACATGGAATCGGAGACAGCGCAGAAGCACCATGCACTTCCACCGCACTCTGCAACACATTGAACACGCGAAGAGCAGCACACCAAGTACAGCAACTTTGAATTAGGATGTCCTTAAGGGGGGGTGGTCCAAGGGGGGTAGGTAACCTAGTAATCCCCATTATTCCCCAATACTCCCTAAGCTTCCCTAAGGTTCCCCAAAGCTCCCTAGTACCCTCCCCCCTTGAACCACCCCCCCTTAAGGATCCTATAATTGAAGAGAGGCACCGACTGCCAACTACAGCCAGGATTTGCTGATAAGGGCCCGAGCGAGACCTAACGCAGCAGTCCCGACCCCAAAACAAAAGACTCTGAGAAGCCCCGACAATACAGGGGCCTCAATAAATGGAATGGGGTGTTGAGGCCCATCACAATAGTGTAAGTATAAGAAGGACAACCCAAAATAAATTGGTATATGTTTAGGCCCCTAGATTCAATCCTTATAACAGCCCTTATAGTAGCCTTGAAAGACCCCTTGGAAGGAATCCTATTCCAATAGTGTTGGTAATTGTTTAGGCCCCCAAACACCTAAACCCTACACCCCTAAACCCTTTTTAGGCCCCTTTTTCTAAACCCGCATAATACCAGTACCCCTCATAGTAATCCTCATAGACCCCTTTCAAAAGGAACCCTTAAAAGAACCCCAACCCTAAACCCCCCTAAACTCGCCCTATACTCAACTGAAACCCCCCACAATACCCCTGAAAGTAATGATCCTTATAGACCCCCTTAAAAGGAACCCTCAAAAAAAACACCGTTCAGAGCCTCTTTCTCGTCCAGACATGGCTTTGGTACCGGAGGAGGTTCTGGTGGATCCTGCAGCTTTTGGGCTGAGCTCAGACCTTCCAAAATTAAGGTAATATCCCCTTGATTAAGGAATACACCTTAAGGGCTCCTTACAGGGATCCTTAAAGGGATCTATAGGGTTTAGGGCTTAGGGGAGTCTAATATCCCTTAATTAAGGAATATACCTTACATTATAATAGGATCCCTAAATATGACCTAATAAGGTATGTTCCATAATTAAGGGGCTTTTGGAAGGTCTGGGAGTATCCTAGTTCAAGAAAGCTTACCTTCTAGTCAACCCACAGGGACTCTACATAAAGGTAATGTATTAATGTAGGAACCTTAGGGTTCCTTTAAAGGGGGTCTATAAGGGTTACTATAAGGGATCTATAAGGGTACTATCATAATGTAGGAACCTGATTGAGAAACCTTGGGTCTTTATTCGGGTTCCGTGTATGAATCCTACTATTTTGGGGTTATAGGCCCAGGGCTTCGTAATCAGGTTCCTACATTACCCTAGCCCAAAAAGGGGTAACTTATAGTAGGAGCATACAAGCCCCAAAAGGTTAAAGGTTACCTACTCAGCCCTTAAGGCAGAAAAGCTTTCGACGGAAGCCAAGCGTCTTGCTTCGTGAGCGTGTATAAGTTTAGACTGTCTGCTTGCAATACCCTAAACCCTAAACCCCTAAACCTAAACCCTAAACCCTAAATTTGGGTATCTAGGTAGTATTATTAGGGAGACCCCTTCAAGGGTACCCCTTCTGAACCCTACTTCTGGCTCTCTCAAAAGGCACCTTATTGAGACAGTCTACTTGAAGGATCATGGGACTTAGTAAGTAAGGTTATAAGTAGGTTATAACTAGGATAACCCCACTTAGGGGACTTATAACCCCAATTATAACCGACTTACTAAGTCCCATGATCCTCTAAGTACGTCCCCAAGGATCCCCCTAATCCTAACTCCCATTTATCGTGTTTGTGCGGATAAGAGGTTCCTTGAAGAGCGAGATGGGTGTGCCGGTCATGTCTCGGTCAGACCTACTCTGCATCATCCAAAATCCCTTAATTAAGGAATATACCTTACATTATAATGGGATCCCTCATATGAATTAAGGTATATTCCTTAAGTAAGGGATTTTGGAAGGCTGGGTACTCTGCATCATCCATGGTAGACAGACGTTTATCATGGACCCTTCTAACCTAGTCCAACATACGCGTCCTCCTAATTATATACATGCTTGCCCTTTGCTCGCTGCCCGCTGAATCCTAAATCCGAAGCCCGATATACTACCTAGACCCCCCCCCATCTACCCTCTATTACGCTGAATACCCATGATCATTAAGGGCCATAAGGGCTCGATTAAAGGGCATTTCTTCGGACCAGCCCATCAACACGCTATGACATCGAGAACACTGCCATCCCAAAATTACCAACACTGCAACCCGGCAGAGTCCATTGTTTTGTTTTAGGCTTACGCGTTAAGGTTTAGGGCTGGCGTCATCAATCCTTCCCGCATAATTATGGGAAACGGAGCTAGTGAAGTGTTCTGTCCTGTCGTCTCTTCGTATGGAGAGCTCTTTCAAACCATGAACCCGACATCCCAAACCCTAAATCCCAAATCTTAAGTAAACTAAACCCTAACAAATACCCGTGAAGGAACCCCGGAAGAAGAGTTCTTGGATAGAAGCCTGAATAGATGGAATAGGGCTTGGACAAACTACGTTGTTAGCATACATGGACTATAGAGTATGGATTCTTTCGAACGTGTATCGACGTCAGGATTCAAGGGTTTATGAGGTTGTCATGTTTCGCACGTTGTGTGTTGTTGGTTGGGGTTGCTCCAAATATTTGCACGCCCGCTATCAAGATCCGCAGGAGCGCCAGTCTTGGCTGTAACACACCGTAACATCACGAGATCACCGTGAGTAGGGTCGAGTCGAGGGCATCCGGCACGGCGTGCTCACTTGCACCAAAGTTTAACTTCCCTAAACCCAGATTGGAAACAAGCAAAGCTAAGCCCCAACCCTGCACTCTACTAGTATCAGCCCAGGAAGCTCCAATACCAAAGATCCCAAACCCGATTAACGATCCTACAGTCCAATAGGTTCCGCAGAGCCCCATAGAACCCTAGAAATATTTATATACATAAAGCGAACCCGAGATCTAATGAACTCGACGAGCTGCATCGGCACCGGTAAGCGGCCAGCCTGCTCCCGTTCTTCAGATTTGGGATTCAGGGAAAATGTTGGGCTTGAGTTGTAGGGGCTTAGGGAAGCTTCAGGGGTTTTGCACCGTCAGGGTTTGCGCTTTAGGTTTAATGGGTTTCTGGGAAAGGGGGATCACAATCAAATCCGTGGAGTTTGGGGTTTAGGGTGTAACATAGTCATAGAACACTAGACGCTAAAACCTTCACCGACAAGAGCTTCGTTGCCAGCTGCATTGTGGTACTTCTTCGGCTTTCGGCAAGATACGAGGTCTGGCGCGGACGCTTCTTCGCCCGCGGTGCACTGGCCTGTTTCACATCGCAAAGACGATTCCACGTTACTCCAACCTCGCCCTTAGCACTGCTGGCAGCAGCCAGCGCCCTGAGCCCGGAGCCCTACTTAAAAGCCCGAAGGGCTTAGAAAGTAAGATTATTGTTGGGATTAGAGGACTTACAACCCCAATTATCGCCCTACTTACTAAGTCCGCCCTCCAGAGATCTTCAAACGAACCCTCGAAAGAGCCTTAACGCCTTTACTAAGCCGCCAGACGCTTACCTTGAGGGGATTACGATTCGACCACGTATTCGGCGCTGTCTAGGGGTTAGGGTTGACTTGTTTTTCAGACACCCTTCCAAGGGCACAAGGTCGACCCTTAATAAGGACCCCTAGGTATATACCCTTTATACAGCCATTATATACCCATTATATAGCCCATTATAGGGTAGGGGTCCCCATTAAGGGTCCCTCCTTTTCCCCTTTGAACCCTCCCAAACCCTGAACCGTAAGCGCGAAACTCCCGGACCTAAATTCCCACGCGGCCTAGGTATATTCATGTCTTAATGCCATGTAAAGATTCATGTTTGCCTGGATCTACCCGTGTGTGCTTGCAGGTGGTCCAATACTCCACTTCCCTCAGCAGGAAAATAAAACAACATGTGTATGAGAGGAGATCCATATGGAGGGTTGTCAAACTTGGGGTCCCTTTTTGGGTCCCTATTATATTACGGCACCTATTATTTAGGGTAGCCCAAAAGGGACCATAATTTTGACAACCACCCATATAAAGGAAACCATCATAAGGAAGAACCTAAAAGTCCCCAAGAACCTAAAAGTCCCCAAGAACCTAAAAGTCCCCAAGGCAGATATGACATCTGCAACGCTTCCTACACCCTGAACCATACCTTAAGGGCCAAATGTCCCTTAAAAGTAGGGGGGCTCTTTTCTCTGATACTATGAACCCCTACATGGTATACGGGAGTTTCCGAAAATAAGGGTACCTAATTTGGAGGTCCTTATAATAAGGGCCCTACTATTTAGGGTACCATATGAGGGTCCCCTATTTTCGGAAACCCCCATATGAATCTTAAACTTAAACCCTCTTAGGGCTCATTTCGTCTGTAAGGTAAACCCTTCTTCTTTCATTGCGCCTGGTGGCGGGGTTTCCGGCGCGAGCTGCGGCTCGGGTGGCGGGGCGGATGCTGGGTCCCGCGGCGGCACCCTCTCCTGCAAACTGTTCCGGCAACATATGGGTGGTTGTCAAAAATTATGGTACCTTTTTGGGTATCCTAAATAATAGCTGCCGTATTATATTAAGGCTACTATTGAGGGCCTTGTATATCTTTATGGGAGTTTCCGAAACTTAGGGGTACCTTATTTCGGGGTCCTTATGATAAGGATCCTACTATTTAGGGTACTATATTAGGGTCCCCTATTTTCGGAAACTCCCATATGGTGAGGGGTTCAAGGGCTCTCTAAACCCTAATTAAACCCTGAATCCTACACCCAGAACCTTAAGCCAGCTTATGGTTTTGCTCTTGTGCCAGGGCTCAGCGTCAGGGGTACAAGTAGCTAAACTCTAAACCCTAAGCAGATTCAGGGCTAGGGGCCGATGCTTCCAAAGTGCTTCGGCACTTATCGGCTAAGGGGTTTAGGGGTTCGGGCTTAGGGGTTCAGGGTTTAAGGGCTTTGGGTTTAGAGTTTAGGGGTTAGAGGGGCTTTATAACAGCTGTTTGAGGCTTGAGCGGCTTGAGTGTATATCGCAAAAATTTGGAGCTTCAGGGTTCGGAGAACCGTAAACCCTAACCCTTACAGGAACCCCAAACCCTAAAACCCCTACAACCCCTAAACCCCCTAAGCCCTGAACCCCCTAAAACCCTCAAATCCGTAAAAGCCCCTAAATGCCCTGGACCCCCAAAGCGCCTAAGACCCCCCTGAACCCCCTCAAACCCCTAAACCACCTAAATCCCGAAAACCCCCTAAAACCCCTCAAGCCCCTAAAACCGCAAAACATCGAAACCCCTAAACCCCCTAAAACCCCTAAAACCACCACAGAATCCCTTAAAACCCCTTAAACCACCTAAACCCCTAAAACCCCTAAATCCCTAAAAACACCCAAAGCCCCTAAAATCCCCTAATCCCCTAAAACTCCTAAAAACGCCCTAAACCACCCCGAACCCCTGAAACGCCCTAAACCCCTAAACCCCTAAAACCCTTTAAACTCCTAAACCACTACAACCCCTAAACCCCCTAAACCCCTTAAAACCCCTAAAAACCAACCGAAAAGCCCTAAAGCCCCTAAACCCCTGAAGCCCCTAAAGCCCACTAAAGCCTCCCCAAACCCCTAAAACCCCCTAAAACACCGGCCTCGGAAGCCGGCTCGGACTCCGGCTCGGCCGAAGGTGCCGGCTGCGGAGTGTCCGCGGCTGGCGCCTCTCTACTTAGAGGATCATGGGACTTAGGGTTCCTTAAAGGGCTCCTTAAAGGGTTTAGGGATCTATAATATAAGGGTGCTATAAGGGGTAGTTTAGGTTACTTAGAGGATCATGGGACTTAGCAAGTAGGTGATAATTGGGGTTATAAGTCCCCTAAGTGGGGTTATCCTAATTATAAGCTACTTATAACCTTACTTACTAAGTCCCATGATCCTTCAAGTAGGGTGATCTTCTTGTTTAGGGCTTAGGGCTTAGGGTTTAGGGTTTAGAGTTAAGGTGATCTTCTTGTTGTTTTTTTGAAGGCCCTTTTCCTCCCTGCTACAGTCGGAATACCTAGTAGGTAGAGCCTGTTATGAGGACCTCTGGGAACTGCAAACTGAAGGCTTAGGGTTTAAGGGTTTAAGGTCACGTAAGGGTTTAGGGTTTAGGGTTTGGAGGGTTTTGGGTTTAGGGTTTCAGGGGTTCAGAGTTTAGGGGTTTAGGGGTTAGGGTTTAGGGCTTTTTTGGGGATCCTTAAGGGGGGGTGGTTCAAGGGGGGAGGGTACCACGGATCCTTAGGGAACCTTAAAGGGAACCTTGGGGAGCACTAGCGAGAACTAGGGATTAGTAGGCTATCCACCCCTCTTGGAGCCCCCTCCCACAAGGATGCCATGATTCTTAAAGTATAAGGTCTCCTTTAAGTGATCTATAAGGGATGATGTGTCGGGTATAGGTATTAAGGGTACAGGGTTTTAGGTTTGCAAAGAAGGTTCTTATAAAGGCTTCTTTGGGGGTTCTAGGATACCCAGTAACCTAAGAATAAAAAGGCCGCTCTTTTTGGTCTTGGGTAACTTTATAAGGAACCTAGGACTACAAAAAGGGAATAAGGGTACTACAGGGCATCCTAGTTAGTCTTCTAAGAGCTCAAGTGTTTTTAGTGTTCGGGGGCTCAGGGTCAGGGTTCGCGTATGGCTAAGCTATACGTTACAGGCGTTACAGATTTAGGGCTGAGGGCCGATAGTTGAAAGAGGGTCTGAGCACCCAGGGGTTTATGGTTTAGGGTTCGGTTGTTATAATTTGCCTTCAAGATGCTGCAAGGCTCACAATCAAGAATGGATTTGGGGCATCAGCGTTCAGGGTTTAAGGTTGAGAGTTTTGGGCTTCAGGGGCTGTAGCCGCTAAATCCTATTTGTGGCTAAATCCCTTACTCTGAACCCTACATTCGAGCCTAGGCTCGGAAAGGTTTAGAGTTTACTTGAAGGCTCATGGGACTTAGTAAGTAAGGTTATAAGTAGGTTATAATTAGGATAACCCCACTTAGGTGACTTACAACCCCAATTATCACCTACTTACTAAGTCCAATGATCACATTGCCAAAGGCGAAAAAGAATGCTGGACCTGGTCCTCCTGCTGGGGCAGGGGTCTTAAGAATTAGAATAGGGTTTTGGGGCCCACTATACTATGGTTTTAAATATGTAACCCCCGAAATAGTGTTGGTAATTATTTAAGCCCCTTACCTAAGGACACATAATATCCCGTCTAGTAATCCTTACAGACCCCTTTAAAAGGAACCCCATTATAATTCTTAAGGCCATTTAAGGCCCCTATAGTAAGCTGTCATTAAGGAACTGCAGCTAGACGTCTTCTTCACGGCTCTCGGGATGTTCGCCAACTTCTTTCCGACTCGATTTCAATCCTGAAGCCCTTCCGCCAAGGCCCGAAACTACGCCCACCTTCCTAATATAGGAACCTGATTAAGAAACCGTGGACCTTTAATTATTAGGGTTCCTTCTATGAATCCTAATATTTTGGGGTTATAGGCCCAGGGTTCTTAATCAGGTTCCTACATTAATCCTTAACCCATGGTTTAGGGTTTAGGGTTCCGCACTTCAACAAGTAATCTGTCACTTCAATCCCAGGCACTGCATCGTCAAGTCTACATTTGAGCCGTGTGATGCGCGCATTGCTCCGTTCGGTGCTAAATGTGCTACAACTTAATACAACTCTATACTTTCTATTTCTGCGAGCTTGAGCAACACTGTGACACAAAAGCAGACACAAACACAGAAACTCGCACGCACACCCGCCGCTACGGGCACCGACACACCTACACCGCCACCGACCGACACCGACACCCGAAGACACTCGCAAAACATGTGTAGAACGCCGCGGCCCCCTTCGAAACCTTTCGAAACCATTGCCTAAGTTCTCGAGCCTGATTGCCCAGCTGTATATAAACCCAAAGCCCCAACTGCCGAAACCTTAAGACCATAATGCTCTGCAGCCCTAAAGCTCTGCTTTATCCTTGCATGTGCCACTGGACCGTTAGAGGAGCTTTAAGAAGACGCAGCCATAAAACCCCTAAACCCCAAACTCCAAACCCTAACCCTGTTAAGGAAACCTTACTACAGAACCCGATTGCACCCTCATTAATGAAACCAGCTCTAGAACCCCTAAAGCCACAGCCTCAGCAGCCCCTTCAGTCGAATCTGCTGGCGGCGGATTTTCCGCCGGCTCGGTCGGCGCCTCTCAGTGTCGTCGTTCTTCACGCTGGTTGCAAGCATGGAAATAAGGGTTTAGGGTTTAGGCTTCAGTTAGAATTAGAAGGGCTTGGGTTTGGTTACTTAGAGGCTCATGGGACTTAGTAAGTAGGGTTATAAGTAGGTTATAATTAGGATAACCCCATTTTTGGGGACTTGTAACCCCAATAATAACCTACTTACTACGTCCCATGATCCTCTAAGTAGGTTTTCTGATATAGTGAACTTGGAGCGTTTGATGCAAGGTTTCCTGTAGGACCAGCGCACCACTCCATTCGGGCGTGAGGGCTTGCGGTTATGGGAACTGGAGTTTGCTTTTGCGGTTTAGGGCTTAGGGACTGCGCCCGAAACGATTTTGTACATATTATCAGCAGAAAGCCTCTGGAATCTGAAGAATTGAAGTAATATAGGGGCCGTAATACTTAGAATAGGGTTTTGGTGCCCATTACACTATACTTATGATAAGAAACCCAACAAAAATAGCATAGGCAATTATTAAGGCCCCTATAATAGCTCCGGTGCAACCCGTTTGTTTCAGCGGATCCTTCCCAGAGCCTGAGACAGGCGATGCCCCCAGCCCTACGCGATAAATCCTAAACCCAAACCCTATAAACCCTGAACCCTACAAACCCTAAACCCTAAACCCCAAAGCCTACAAACCCCAAACCTTAAACCCTAAACCCCAAAGCCTACAAACCCTAAACCTTAAACTAAACCCCAAAGCCTACAAACCAAAAAACCTTAAACCCTAAAGCCCAAAGCCTACAAACCCTAAACCTTAAATTAAACCCCAAAGCCTACAAACCAAAAAACCTTAAACCCTAAAGCCCAAAGCCTACAAACCCTAAACCTTAAACTAAACCCCAAGGCCTACAAACCAAAAAACCTTAAACCCTAAAGCCCAAAGCCTACAAACCCTAAACCTTAAATTAAACCCCAAAGCCTACAAACCAAAAAACCTTAAACCCTAAAGCCCAAAGCCTACAAACCCTAAACCTTAAACTAAACCCCAAAGCCTACAAACCAAAAAACCTTAAACCCTAAAGCCCAAAGCCTACAAACCCTAAACCTTAAATTAAACCCCAAAGCCTACAAACCAAAAAACCTTAAACCCTAAACCCCAATGCCTACAAACCCTAAACCTTAAATTAAACCCCAAAGCCTACAAACCAAAAAACCTTAAACCCTAAACCCCAATGCCTCCAAACCCTAAACCTTAAATTAAACCCCAAAGCCTACAAACCAAAAAACCTTAAACCCTAAAACCCACCAACCCTAAAGCCCCTTCGAAAAGAGTTCGGGGCCCCCAAAGCCCGAAACACACCTCGTCCGCCTTTGCGCGAAGCCTCATCAGAGCTGCCTGGAAACATAGAGCCTTAATTAACTAGGATACCCAGTAACCTAAGAATGAAAAGGCCTCTCTTTTTGGTATTGGGTAACTTTATAAGGAAGGAATATTCCATAAATTAGAATCGGATGCTGATATGATTTAAGGAATATTCCTTAATTAAGGGGCCGATGATGGTCTAGGGTGTGTTCAGGGGCTAGGGGTTAGAGCTTTAGGGCTTTGGGATTAGGGTTGCCAGAGACTCCAAAATCCTTTAATTAAGGAATACTCCCTAAATTAGAGTAGGATCCCTAATCCCTGATATGATTTAAGGAATATTCCTAAATTAAGGGGTATCGGAGTCTCTGGGAACTTTCGGGTTTACGGTTCAGGGTGTAAGATTTAGGGTTCAGGGTTTACGGTCTAGGGTTTAAGGTTTAGGGTCTAGGGCCCTTTTGAAGAGGGTCCTAAACCCTAAGCCAACATCACTTACTTAAGGAATATTCTTGAAATCAGATAAGGGATCCGTCCATAATCACTTAAGGTATATTCCTAGAAAGGGATTTTGGAGTCTCTGGGAAGTTCGTTCAAGACTTCTTGCCTTCCTTCTCAACATGAGGGTTCAAGGGGTTTAGGGGGTATAAGGGATCTGTAGGGGTTTAGGGGTTTAGGTTGTAAGACTTCTTCTTCGAAGTTCAACAGAGGAGGACCACGATGGCATGCATCGAGGGCTTTCCAGAGACGCCCAATAGGGTTTAAGCGTTTAGGTTTTAGGGATACAGCTTATAAATGAAGCTATGAAGCCTTTGCAACTTAAGGCATAGTCTTTAAGTAAGCAGTATTGGGCTCTCTGGGTTTAAGCGGTTGCTACAGGGTTTGGGGCTCGGTAGCTCTTGTTGGACTGAATCCTTACCCTAAACCCTACACCCCCCAACCCCGTAAACCCCAAACCCTAAAGCCCTTACCCCCCAGACTCTAAAACCGTAAACTCCAAACCCTCAACCCTAGAGACTGAAAGCCCCAGAACCCTACACTTCCCCCAGAACCCCAAAAAAGAACCCTGGGAGTTCATGAGACATCTTATCTGGCGCCTCGGCTTCTGCATCGAGGTCCTCTGCAAAACATGTTGGGCTCTTATTAGTGCTCCTCTACAAACGTAGAATAGGGGGCTTGTTAGTTATAGGAGGGCCTGGGGGTGCTTCACAAAGCTTTTCACGGGCGTTTAGGGCCTTGTGCCTTAGGGTTTTAAAGGGTTTCAGGATTTAGCTTTTTTGTTCAGCACCTTTTTGCGCCCGCCTATCTGTCTAAGCTGACGAAAGGCCGTGTAGGGTTTAGGGTTCCAGGATTTAGGTTTAGGGTTTAAGGCTTCGGGATTCAGGTTGTAGGGTTTAGGGTTCAGAGATTTGGGCTTCGGATTCAGACGGAAGTACTATGCTGGTTAAACGTCGCTGAGAATCTTAAAGGGAACTCCAGAAAGTTGGAATATGGTTTCAGGGTAGGATACCTTATAATTTACCATAAAGGGTTTAGGATAATCATATTCCAACTTTCTGGCTTTTACTTTAGGTCGACATCACCAGGACTGGTAGTACTGTGGGAGCAAAACCCCCGAAAGCCTTAGCCCGGTAGGCCCCTTGACACCATTGATTTCCTTCTTATGTAAGATCCTCCGCATCCCAGTGATTACACGAGTTCAACCACCTTCGAACTCATGCATAGCTTAAGGCTTAAGTTTTGTCGAAACCTAATAACGGGAAACCGAAATCATCCAAATCAGTACCTGGAATAGGGGAGTTTCCGAAACTTAGGGGTACCTGATTTTGGGGTCTTTTGAATAAGGATCCTACTATTTGGGGTACTATATCAGGGTCCCCTATTTTCGGGAACTCCCATATGAGCGGCTTGGCGCCTCCTCCTGCTCCATGCCAGCCCCGTCGCTGGAGCTCGGCTCCTAAAGTGGCAAACGGGACGGAGCTTAGGATTGAATTCGTGGCTTGAGTTTCAGATCCAAAATCCGAGGATCTGGGTTTTCATCTAAATAAAGGTACGCAACTAGTATTACTATTTAGATCCGTGACCGTGTGTATTTTTTTGAAGTTACAGGAGATTGATACCATGTTAGATTCCTGGACCTCCCTAAACAAGACACAAGCGCGAATGACGCATCCGATAAGCGCGAATGTCCGAAGCGCCAAAAAGCAGGGTGGATGTGCCCCTTTTGCCTGACAGGCTCGGCATGGGTTATGGGTCTTCTCTACATGAGGGCCCCTTTGTTTTTTTAAGGTGCCATACTTTTTTGTTTAAATAATTTTCTGGGACCTAGAAATCGGCTCTAGTTCAGAAAACTGCCCATGTACTTCTCAGACTACAACCGAACCACTGCAAGGGAGGCCGGGGTTCGCATGCTTAAGGTTTAAGCCAGGACCCCCCAATGGCCCTTTAATGGAACCCTTATGGTCCTTAATAGTGGGTACTTAGGGTATATTAGTGGGTAGTTGGGGGGTCTGAGAGGGTTTGGGGTCTGGGGTTTGGATTTTGGGGTCTAGGGCTGGATCTAATAATACTGTAGTGGCCGTTATGATAGATTAGAATAGGGGCTTGAAAGATAGTTCTGGTATAACCAGAGCCCTGAAAAACAGTAGCAATTAATTCAAGCTTCCGTATTGTACTCATGGACTCAAACTGTCATAAAGTTTATATCATTTGCTGGGCTTTGCTGGGTTTAATGCGCAGGTCTACTTCTATCTGACTGTCTTCGACATCCAACGTTGCCAGTAGGCTGGCGCATAGGCCGCACTGTGCCCCTCCCATGGCGGACTAAATTCTTTCCGGCAGGCATCAGCAATTGCCAACTTGGAGACTATCTGTACATGTTGATCGTGGATTGGGCAACTTGGGTGCCTTTGGCAGCTTGTTATGGCGGTTCGCGTTGCTCGCCTTGCATGTGGCCCTTGCGGCTTTTGCCGTCCGAATCCAAACTCAACCAGAAAAGCCCCAACCCGAAAGCTTGATTGTGTATGTCCACCGTTTAGGGTTGGGGGTCCTGGTCTTGGCGAAACTCTGACCGTGCCGTTGGCTTTCTCGGCTAAGGGCCGTCCGGGAAGTCACAGTTCACCCGAAACCCCCAATAGAAGATTGAAGGCATGCTAACCTTGGCTCAGGCTTCATTCAGTGATGCCTCACCTCCTACTGACGACAACATGATGACGAACATCTTAAACCGCACTTCGGGCCAATCCCTTTCCAGTGTGAACTTGAGACAGGCGTCAAAAGCGGCTTCGGAAAGCTTCACCCGTAGTTAAGCCCTACTGTACCAGGACCCCCCAATGGCCCTTTAATGGAGCCCTTGTGGTCCTTAATAGTGGGTATTTAGGGTATATTAGTGGGTAGTTGAGGGGGTCTAAGTAAAGAATCCAAACCTTATCAAACTCCACCCTAGCAAATTCTTAATTTTGGCTGTTTCTTAGAGATTATAATCACCAAAAGTTAAAACTTAAGTACCCCTAAGTATACCTGAAACCGCATCCAAGCATCCGGTGGAGGAGCCGGCCCCACCCTGAGACGACAGGCAAAAGCACGCGCAGTAAGACTTCGCCTACAGCAGACGCCCAAAAGTTGGAAACCTCATTGCCTCAATCCTTAAGAGTAATGCATAGGGAATCCCAGCACTATTTGGCCTTTATCCGGTTTCCAACTTTATGGGGTTTACTGTAAGTGCTTTAATGTAGGATTTCTTTGAGGGTTCTTGTGAAGCCTACTTGGTAACTGAAAAAGAGCATTTGGGGACAGGTCTGCGGAATTAATTCTTATGAGTGAGTGGGTTTGAAGGTTGGGGGCTGAGATCGGAGAAATGAAAAGTGAAGGGTGTGAGGGATTAGGCTATACGGATTAGGGTTCAAGAGTTCTGTCTGCCTAAAGAAGCTTCACCCGACTCTTTAACCAGATCTACTCTTCAACAGAAATCAACATTCCCTGCGCTGCCAAAGTTCAGTTTTGGGTACAGAGATCCTGGAATGCAGCGTTTGCTCCCATGGCCTACTTCAGGCAGATGCCCAAACTCAAAAGCCGAAAGATCCAAGCCCTGAACACCAAATGTGTATATTGGGTACGGGCCCCATACGGTAACAGTCTATAATCGGGCTACTATTGAGATATCTCTATATTTTGAATATAATATTATCCAACTGCTACGGAGTGGGGGCGCTACCCAGTGTGTGTATATAAAATGCCAACACCTGTCAGCCCCAGAGATTCCACAACTCTTGAACCAAACAGCCCTTACCAACGAAACTTGTGACATTTTGCTGGAAGACCATACATCTTAGATCACTACTATAGCTCCTATTTCATAAACGGCAACTAGCAAAACATCAAGTCCTAAACCCTTAACCTACATAATGCCCTCAGCCCCAATTCTTTGAGCCTTCTTTCGCAAAACGTCTATTCCTCACGCCGCAAACGAAGATCCCCATACCCCAAATCCCCATGCGCTAAAACCCAGGATGGTATCGCGAGCACGGTTTTCCGAACTCGAGTCTTTGAACGCGTCAGATGCTGGGCGAGACTGGGAAGATGGAAAGCTTCAACAGTTTGGGCAATGACGACTTTGGATTTCGAAAGCATGAACGTGTCGAGTTTGAACGAGTTGGGAGTTTGCATATTGGACGGGGTTGGACGGGAATGCAGTTTGAAAGATTGAAGCTGCGGAGACGTGCGCCGCGCGACGGAAGCGAAGTCAAGGATGCGAGTACTTCTCCCAGAACAGAGCAGATGATTCCAGCGAAACAACCCTAAACCCGAAAAATGGAACCCTAAGCGCTTAATTAAAATCCAACACCGACACCGTAAACCCTAAAACCCTAAACCCCTAGACCCTAAAAGCACAAAGCCCTAAACCCCTAGACCTTGAACCCCAACAACCCCAAATCCCTGAACCCTAAAGCCTGAACCTGAACCCTAATCCCAAAGCTTCGGTCGGAGATCTGTGGGTGGGGTTTAGGGTTTCCGGCTCTGCGGGTTTAGGGTTTGAGGTTTTGAGGATTGTTTAAGGGCTGAAGTTTTGAGTGTAGGAACTCATGGTTTAGAGCATAGGGCTTATAAAGGGGTTTAGGGTTTTTGGGCTGAGTTCTTAAGGGTTGAGGGTTTGAGGGTCGAGGGTCAGGTCAAGCTCCCAAGCCCTGAACCCCTAAACCCTGAACTTTAAACCCCAAAGCCCAAACTCCTGCCCGGAGAGCGCCGCTGACCATTTGCATGGGTGCTCGAGGCTCCGACCGAGGCCCCGGAGCGTCTCGACGAAACAGTGAGCGGAAACTGAAATGTCTCGGTTACGCTTTTTTAGAACTGACCCCTTGCCCTGCCCCGCCCTGCCCTCCTTGCCCGTTGTGTGCTGCCCTTACCCGTCCCATCACCCCAACCCTGCCCTCTGCCCTCTCTCTGTCCTCTGCCTCGCCCTCTGCCCTCTGCCTCTGCAGAGCCTTCTGCCCTCTGCCTCTGCAGGGCCCTCTGCCCCCTGCCCCGCCCCGCTGCCCGCCCTGCCCTGTTCGTCGTCGAGCGGCCGGCACAGGCTGCGAGGACCCACAACCACCAACCCATGTCAGTTGCGGCTTGTCAGTTTATGTGTGGAGCTGCGAAAGTAAGCAGAGAGCAAGAAAACCCTCCTTGAGGGGGTTCGGGGGGTGGGCCCCAAACCCTAATTGAGAATAGTAGGGGTGGTCGGGGCGGGACTACATGCTGACACAAGTGCGCGAGAAGTGGGTGCGCACCTGTTCCTAAAGCAAAAGGCGCACCCACCGCGCGCATACTCTTACACACCTTGGACCCCAGATCCTAAACCCTAAACCCCTAAACTTCCCCAAACCCTAAACTTCCCTAAACCCCCAAACTTCCCTAAACTTTAAACCCTAACTGCAGGCCCAAAGGCGCTCGCAGGTATGACCTTCTCATCTTGGCGACGACCGGGTAGCCGTCCAACGTTACATTCACGTGGTAGCCTTGCGAGTTTAGGCTTTAAATGTTTCGTGTTTAATTATAGGGGTGTAGGGTTCAAGGGTTTAGGGGCATTGGGGTTCAGGGGTTAGGGATTTGGTGTTGGGGGTTTGGGGATTTTGGGGTCTCGCGAGTTTAGGGTATAAGGGTTAAGAGTTAAAGGTTTGGGGGGTACCGGGGTATATTAGGGGCATAGAGTTTAGGGTTGGGGTTCTGGGGTTGTGGGCTTAGGGTTTAGGCTTGGAGTGTTTCGGGTTTAGGGGTGCAGGGTTTAAGGGTTTGGGGGTACAGGGATTCAAAGGCTCATGGTGAGGGTTCTAGGGTTGGGGGGGGCCATGGGGTTTGGGCCTTAGGGTTTAGGGTTCTTTAAGGGCTCGCTCAGCCCAAAACCCAGCAAAATAGCTGGGTATGACTCAACTTTACAGGGCAGAACCCCCTGAAGCTGGACTGGATGAAGTTTGCGACTCGGAGTTCAGATCTGCGAAACAGCCCCTGACTGTTGGGATTGTCTGCATACGCACCTGTACGCATAGCTGGATAACGTGCGGTGGTTACATCACATCCTACACTTGAGCCCTAACTGCACCCTAAACCCTAAGTTATGACCCCTCAATTACAGAGTATAGCCCACTAAACAGTACGCACATGCCGCCTAAGAGACCCTCAGCCCTAAACCCTAACCCCAAAACCCTCTAACACCTTCGCCCCAAGCCTTAAACCCCCAAACCCAAAAAGCCGAAGACCGAAAGCCAAAAAGGCTAAGACCCAAAGCCAAGCCGAAAAGGCCAAGACCGAAAGCAGCCTCACACCCTTCTGGGCCCTTATGCTGGGGCCACCGGCGTTGTCTGTCTCGTTCGAAGAGCGCAACTGTACCGTGAAGGCCGTTCAGCTGCGGATTCATGAGGGAGCCTGCATGTGGGGCTAAGGACATCTAAATCTGGCGCTTAAAGTCTACATAGGGTTTCACGGTGAGTATATGCAGGTGGGTCTAGGGTTCAGGAATTCGGGTTTTCGGTTTAGGTGCTAGCCCCTGTTGCGGATGAAGTGGTGTCACGGGTGTCGCCCGAGTAAACCACAGTGCAGCGAGGTCCGCAGGGGCAGCTTTTTTGGGTTGCAGGCAGGGCTTAGGAGCTTGGGGTTCAGAGATGTGGGAGTTTCCGAAAGTAGGGGACCCTGGTACAGTACCATATAAGTAGTAGGATCCTTCTTCTAAGGATCCCCACATAATTTGCGGAAGCTCCAATGTAAGTCGTGGGGATTTGTGGGGTGTAAAAGCGAATGTCACATCAGTTGAGGTACCCAAGCCCTGAGCGAGTTCATCTATGTAGAAGCCTGAGCTTATCAACGGCAATATCAGATGTCCTCAGAAGCGACCGACAAGGGTGTGACCGGATTCTAAGCCTCTGTATCGGAAATTCCTAACATAATTGGCAACCCTAAAACCCAAACCCTACATCCACAGTACATCGCCGGATCGCACAAGGATGATTTCCAGCTTGCTTTTCATTCATAGGGACCCACAGAGGAATAAAAGGAAGGGGGGGTAGGGAGCCTGGTTCCGAAAGATAAATTCCTACGAACAGCAGCATCCCAGAAAGGTCTTGGGCTTAGGGTTTTTACGTCAAGAAATCGGGCACTAATTCTCAAAGACAGCAGCCAGCTCAAAGCCCTCTGTAGACAGTAGACAGCCAGCCCGAAGCTCGAGGATTTATCTAGAGAATCCTTTGAACCCGTAAGAAAGAACCCCGGTAACGGCAAACCCCCACCCCTCCCAAATTTAAAGCTAGCACCCCGTTTGCGAGACAAGCACCCCAGACCTGATCTTCAACCCTTCTTCTGAGCGCTAAAGCCCAAATCCAGGGCAGGGGTGGATGGCTACTGAACAGGCCTTCGATGATCACCTCAGCACCGGGGCTGAGCTCCTGGCATTTTTGTAGAATCAGGTGAGGATAAGGTTTTAGGGTTATGTAGGTGAGGTGTAATCTCTTGGCCTGAAGGTTCAGACTTGTTGGTTGCCGGTGCTGCGAATCTTTCAAGGCTCCTAGACGGTCCCTGAAACCTAAACTCTACACCGGAACTTGCGGCTGTGGGTTGAAGGGTCTTCGCTCATGTGTCAATTAGAGCGGTGGGCATAGAGCGCGTTGACAGCGAGACGTCGTGAAACTAGGCTGAATTGTTTTAGGGTGTGAGCTTGGGAGTTTGGGGCTTGGCCAATAGGCCCTAAAGTGTAAACCAAATTAGGGGTTTGGGGAGTTTGCACTGCTGCTGCCTCGCAGTCGGCGATCCAGAAGATTCCAGCAGTGCATGTGTGTGTGTGTGTGTGTGTGTGTCTACAAAAGGTCCTTAACATGCAATTCTGCCCGCAGTGCCCTGACGGCTGATTGCATGCAAGTCACCTCGTCCATCGGCTCCCATTTTGGCATGTCTGTCTCCTGCATTTGCGGTTTTAGGCTTACGGTTTAAGGCTTAGGAGTTTGTGATTCTTGGGCTTGTTGGTTATTGGGAAGCCCGGGCTTTGGGGGCTCTTTCAGACACAAAAGCTCTAAATTACTGGCTCGTGCACAATTTGGGAGCTTCCGAAAATTAGGAGTACCTTACTTTGGTGTCCTTATACATTTGGGTCCCCTGCTTCCGGAAACCCCCATTGTGTGGTCAGTCCACTTCGTTTGCCTTGGACAAGCCCTATAGAACTTAGCGTGCCGCAGGGGGGCCTGAATGATTCCGAAGAGTAACAGTATTCCTTGGGGGCTCTCGAAGATATGCCGTGCATGTGCTGCTTGAAAAAAGTAAAGAGTAAAGGAATAAGCGGACATACTTGGAATAAAGAGCAAAAGAAATAATTGGTAAGAAAGTAAACAAATAAATGCATAGACAGATGAATACGTAAACGCAAGCGAACATAAAACACATAAACCAACAAATCTGTAAGTTCATATAAACATACGTGTAGAGTGATCGCAAAAAAATCTCTCTGTGTGTGTATGTATGGATTTATATATACACACACCCCTTAACTGCCATATAATTATGCAGAATCATCAGAACCCTAGAGAAACTATCCACGTTTGTGTGTTTGTCGTGTAACTCCCCGAGCATACAAGGTATGTAGGATATTGAATCAATTTCAACAGCCTTGCGGCGTAGTTGTGAGGGTCATCGAACTTGAATTTTGGGTGCCTAACCTTTGTAACTTGCATGCCCAAATGCCTGTTAGCCCTAAGCTTCAACCTTGTAGCCTTTGAATGTATATCTCGCAATCCTGAACCTGTCTAAACCATGGACTTCCGAACAGTCTAGACTCGTCTAGACCTAAGCCCATAACCCTGAACCCCCAAGGCCCCCAGACTAGACCCTATACTTAAAGGCTCATGGGACTTAGTAAATAAGGTTATAAGTAGGTTATAATTAGGATAGCCCCACTTAACTAGGGGCCTTATAACCCCAACCTTAGTTGCTGAAACCGCCGGGTCGCAGCGCTGCGATTTCGGATCGCAAACCACCAAACGCTACCTGAGGCCTTTACATAAGATCTCGAAAACGCAAATCGCGCGATTTGGCCTGTATACTCCGACCGAATCGCAATATAGTTGCTGCAAGTCGTGGCAAAGCGGCGCAACGTATAACTTCTCTAAACCCTGAACCCATCTCATCTAATCCTAAACGCTGAACCCCTGGCCTAATCTTCAACTTTCCAAACCCTACACGACTAGGTCACGACCGCAGCCGCGGGAGCACTCAGCGAACCCGCTTCTGCCGCGGATTCTGGGGTTGCTGGCTGACGACGTCTCCGGGAGCCAGCCGCAGGATCTGTAAACAAGCCCTCAGGTCTGTCTCATCCACTCCGACGCGGCGCCTGTGAGTCGCCAAGATCTGCGCGCCGGCAAAGCATTCAGTAGCATACAGCTCCTCGTATGCTAAAGGATATCAATGGCAGCCGCGGAAATGCGAAGACTGCACTCGCTATACCTGTCTGAGCTCGGTCGATCCGGGTGTTCCGTCTTAGGGCTCCTTTAAGTGTTTCTTTATGGGATCCTTTCGAGAACCCATAAGGAAGCGCAGGGCTTAGGGCTCCTTGAAAGGAACCCTTTTTGCAGGGCCTCGCCTCCTCTTGACCCTGGTTCGGGTTCATCTCCTCGTCGCCTCAGAGTTGATGGCTTTAGGGTTTTCGTCTTACAGGGAACTCCAGAAAGTTGGAATATGGTTTCAGGGTAGGATACCCTATAATATACCTTAGAAGGGCTTAGGATAATCATATTCCAACTTTCTGGCTTTTACTTTAGGGTTTTCGTCTTAGTGTCAAGGGAGCTCCGTCTAGGACTTCGGGTTTACGGTTAGGGTTGATTTTTTTCGTGGGCTCTTGTCCAACCGCACGTTTAGGGTTTAGGGGTTGAGGGTGTGGAGGGATCTAGATGGTAGCTCCTGGGAAAAGCCTATGACCTGGAGATTGGGGTTCCCAACATTGGCATTAGTGCAAACATTAAGGCCAAGGCATCCGCCAGAAGGCACAGCTATGGGGTTTTATATATGGGCCCGTACTATTCATAAACTGCACACAAGTTGGAGGTCAAGAGTCTTGCTGATAGGCTTGATAGAACCCCAAACCCCTACCGGAAAACACCCAATGCCAAGAGCCCAGAAACCAAAACACACACAGACACACACAGACACACACACACACAGACAGAGACACACACGATACACACGCACACGCATGAAATCCAAACACGCACCCATAAACAAAATCATAAAGCGCAGAAAACAACAAAACAAAACTACACATACAGTTTATCCCAAAACCACGAAAAACCCTAAACCCTAAACCCAAATCCTACAACCTAAAGCGCACAAAAAAGGCCCCGGCCATCTTTCTTCCCAAGCCCCTCCGGTGAGGCCACCTGAGCGAAGGCTCTCCGTGTTGTCTTTCGGGGTGTCTGCAAGGGGGCCTGTAGGCTTATCGGCTCGCTGGCCGCTGGCCCAAAACCTAAGGGAATAAAAGTTTAAACTTTCAGAACCGACTACTTCATAAGAACCTCAGAAGTTGAAAATTAAAAGTTGGGTTTGCAGCCTATAAGTTATAGGGAGATGTTGGCGTTCCCACAGGGTCCGAGGTACTGCTACTAGACCTAAGAGCAACCTAGGAATAACAAGGGTGCCCTTTTTGGTTTACAGGGGGCTATAAGGGAGCTTGAACCCTAAAACAGGGAACATGGGTTTGCTCCGGGTCCTAGGTGGGTTACAGGGAGATGTTGGGCTTTTCCTAAGGGGCCTAGGTACTGTCATGGGGGATACATCCCCAAATACAAATAGTAGCCCCTGATACAGAAACCCTTACATTCTATATGGGTACCTAAGACCGTTAGGCTTTATGGGGTTTTAGGATTCGGGTTTCAGGGTTGAGTTTTTGGGGTCTGGTGATGCGCTTTAGCACGTTACCCAAGACAAAAACCTGTGACAGTCCAGGGTTTGGGCTTAAACCTACGATCCTTAAACCTAGAGCCGAAACCCTCCCACCGAAAGCCCAAGTTATGAACTGTAGACACGAAACCCTTTCAAACCCCAACCGCAGGTTCGCAGTAACGGAACCCCATAACACAGATGCCTGAACGAGCAGTGTTTTCTGTTCCAAAGGGTGTGCTATTTATTGACAAGTGTATCAAACCTAAACCCTACACACTACCACTAGAATCCTGATATCAGCATTCAAAGTGAAGCCCTTACGCTAGGAATTGAAGGTATCGTGGCGAAGTATCTACATGGTGCGGCTTTATGCTTTACAAAACTGCAGCACCATGGGTAAGACTCCTCGGTAACAGGGTATGATCCCCGTCAGAAATTACAGGCATACCCTATAAACCCTAAACCCCCTAAACCCCAACAATCCTAAACCATACACCCCGAACTCGCAACTCTAAACTCTAGACTCTGGCTTTTGGGATTCACATCGTCAGGGTTCGTTCGGGGTGGGGGAGCTTTCAGGAAGGCCGAATCAAGACAGAAGTCTGAGTATCTAACTAACCATACCGTTCCCCAGGGTTCCTCAACATAGGTATGGTGATCATATCCCCCCAAACCCTGTGCCGGCTAGTAAAGATCCTAAATCACTGGCTCGGGTACGGTCAGCTACGGATGAAGACCAGATTCTCTGCAGGATGTATGCCCGTAAAGAGGTAGATTGTTCACTTCGCAGGTGCCGTTTTAGGGTCTTGGTTTCAAAGTTCATGGTCTAGGGGTCGAGGGCTTCGATCAGACTTAGGATTCAGGCTGCAGTTTGGGTTTAGGGACGTTTAGGGTTTAGGGTTTAGGGGCTTAGAGAGCTTCACCCGCCGCAAGTAACCCCAAGTTCCCCACCTTGGCGGAAGCGCTTCCGTCCGACCTCCTCTGACTTTCCTGCACATTGCACGCAAGTAGGGTTCGGTGCTTGAGGGTGCGGGCTACACCTCTTACAGGTTTGAACGCACTTGGACCCACAAACTAATCTTTGGTGTAGAACCGTAAACGGCATACAAGCAAAATGAAATGATATCCCATATATACATCCAATTCCCAAATAGAATGAGTAAGCAACAACAACCTGGGCTCCCGGTAACCGAAACAATGGTCACGAAAGCAAACGACCAAACCGAATCTACCCGAAAACCGAATATGTAAATCTGAGTCATTCCCAAGATTATTCCTTAGCACCCCTGGTTGTTTTTCTATAGCTGAGTATACACCAAAACCGATGCTGATTACAAAGGCCCCTACACTAAACCCCTACATATACTTTCGTTGCACCAAACGCACAAACGCAATCGCGAGCGATTTCAAAATGCAACTCGCCAAAATCCCCAATCCCCAAAAGCGCCTTATTCTCTCTTCCCGGAGACATCCCAAACGTAAAACACTAGCGTAGGGTTTAGGGATAGCAGCTACTTAGAGGATCATGGGACTTATAACTGGGGTTACAAGTCCCCTAAGTGGGGTTATCCTAATTATAACCTACTTATAACCTTACTTACTAAGTCCTATGAGCCTTTAAGTGTCATGAAATCCCAAAGCTTGACTCGAATCTGCAAAGCATTTGCTCACAACGAGGCCGTTCCTCCCGAGCTCTGACCTTGGAGGGGAGGGCAAATCTGTCCATAGATAGTAAATAAAATAACAATATTCAGCATACTGCAGAGTAGGGCTTGGACTTAGGCCACGAAGAAGAAACCCTTGCATCAAGAAGGTTCGGGGTCTTTGGCTGAATGGAAAGGAATGTTTTGTATGGGTGCCACCTGCGGACGTAGTATAGTATGCCGGCCTTGATAATTAGAACGGGGTTTTGGGGCCCATTATAGTGTACTTATAATAAGGAACCCCCAAGATACTGTTGATGATATAAACCCAGCAATACTGAAAACAAGGAATATACCATACTTCCCATGGCCCAGGGTCATTAAGGTAATGCAGGATTTATATCATCAACCGTAGTATAGGTACTCATTAAGGCCCCTATATTTGAGGCCTCAATGATCGGTGTAGGGCCTAGGGCTTTCGGGTGTGTTCTGGTAGAGTCATGGAGCGACTGCGGGGGATACCAGATTAGTACGGCTCATGATATAAATCCTGCATTACCTTGATGAACCTGGACTATGGGAATTATGGTATATTCCTCCTTATCTTCTGGGTAATGCAGGGTTTAGATCCTAAACCCTAAACCGTAAAACCCGATAGATCCCTGAAAGGAACCCCTTTAAAGGTACGCTTTATTAGACCCCTTTTAAGGAACCAGGGCTTATATCATCAGCCGTACGTTGGAGGTTAGGCTCCACACGGTAGTTCGGAGAATTTACAACGTCAACCGGTCCATCCTTAGTTGCTGAATTCATAAGACCCCCAAAAGTGTACACTTTTAGTTTTATAGTAGATAGTATTATCCAAAAAAGTGTAAAGTGTATCCACTCAGCTACTAAGCATCTACCTTAAGGACCAAATGTCCTTTAAAGTAGGGACCCTATACCCTGATACTTTAAGCCCCTAAAGGTTTGTGAACCTTAAATCCTTTTAGGGCTCAGTGCGTCTTTAAAGTATGAAATGCGCCTTGCGGAATCCTAAACCCATGGAGGCAGGAAGCTTGAAACGAAGCACAAATTACACTCTCAACAACCCTGAGCCGTAAGCTAAACTCTGAACCCTAAACCATAAATAGTAAACCGTAAACCCCCTGCAGTGCTGTGGGATGCTTTACGATGAAAGGGTTCGTGGTTGGCAGGGTCTCGGCGGTTTCGCGAACGCCGAGTCTACTTGACCCAAAAGCTTGGTTGGAGCTTAGGCTTTAGGGTTCAATGTTTCAAGCAATTAAAACTTGGGACTTGGGTTTACGAGCAGACTAAGTCTACCTACACGTATTCGCGAAAACCCATTCAGCGTTTCAGCTGGATTACAAGCGTCTACACCCAAAACCCCAAATCCTTAGCCTAAAACCCTATAAACCCTAAAACCCATAATCCTCATGGCCCTAAATCCCAAACACCCCAAACCCTTCCGTTTCAACAGGGTTTTCCCTCCAAGCACCCGGTTCTCCTGGCCGGCCACGGCGCATGTACTCAGAAAGCCCAATACCCCTTACTGAGGGTTTAGGGTTATTTAGGGTTTATAGGGTTTAGGGATATACCAGAAGTTACAACGGGGTTAATGTTATGATTTGAGCTATATAGTCCTTACATGGGTAGTTGTCAAAATTAGGGTCCCTTTTTGGGTACCCTAAATAATAGGTGCCGTATTATATTAGGGACACAAAAAGCGACCATAATTTTGACAACCCACATAAGTTTCTTGGACTCTGGGTAAATTCAGGTGTTACCTGGCGCAAGCCTGAATCCAAGATGATGAGGCTAAGACAACCGAGGCGGGTACAGATTGTCATATAGAATACACCTTAGATTAACCCTAGATTTGGCGTCCCAATCAACATCTTCAAATTGGTCGTCATGTCGGCACCCGGCAAACCAGGCAACTCAGCCTTTCGGAGAACCAGTTTGAGGTGAACAAGAATGTTGGCTCTATGTACTTTATGTTATACATACGTACCGTCCATGCAGGCATGCCGAACCACAACTGACCATATCATATCACGCTGTATCACAAAAAAGCTTGTCATCTCATATCATGTCCTCAGATCTGTCATGGTATGCCGTCATATACCTAAATATACACATGCCTTTAGTTAGCTACATATGTGTATATCTACATCTTTATATACATGTAAACCTGCGTGACTGTGAAGTTGATCGTGAGCACACTACACACCGTTGAAACACTTTGTATGTGCTTGTCCATCTGTCTATCCTTCTATGTATCTTTCTACCTTCTGTCTATCTACCTACCCATCCATCGATCTATCCGCTGGTGGCGCCGCATAGCCGGACAGCTGTCGGCAGCGATCTGTCTGCTGGGGCTGTGTCAAACACGTCCCACTCCGACACTGAAGCTTACGCCTGTGGGGTTTGCTGCGTTGAGCTCAGAGGCTGAAGATCCCTAACCCTAAACCCTAAACCCTAAACCCCTAAACCCTAAACCCTAAACCCTAAACCCTTAACCCTTAACCCGAAGCCATAGGATCTCCCCTTTAAGGGAGCTTGAAGGGCTATTTCAAGGGATTTGGAGTGGTTTAAGTTAGAAGGGGTCCCCGCCCTGTAATAGTGGTATAATAGGAATATATTATATTAGGGCCCTAATATACAGGGTGGGGGCAGCTTCTAAGGTTTAAGTTTTGTGAAGAGCTCTTGCTCTTTTGCTGGTCCCACCATGGAGAAAGAACCTTTGACTTTGATCCCTGACCGAGCACAATTGCTTAAGCCCGAAAACCGTGCATTAGCCCCACAGCCAAAACAAACCATAGACCTCAGCCCCAAGCCCATAAAGCGCTTAGCAGAAACACCCTAAACCCTCAACCCTAAACCCTGTACCCTAGACCCTAAACGATAAACCCTCAACTCTAAACCGTAAACACTCAACCCAAAACCCCCATCGCAAGCAAGGCGCAACAATTTGGGTGATCATTGGTTGCAGAGAGGATCGTGCTCTCTTCAACTCCTGGGCTCGGGGCTACCCAGAGACTCCAATATCCCTTGATTAAGGAACATACCTTAAATCATATTGGGGATCCTACCATAACTTAAGAAATATTCCTTAATTAAGGGATATTGGAGTCTCTGGGTACTTAAAGGCTCATGGAGCTTGGTGAGTAGAATATGGTTGTAGGGTTCCTTGGAGGGTCTCTTTAAGGTTAGTAACTAGGCTAAGGGTTCCTTTTAGGGGTGCTATGGGGTTCCATAATAAGGCTCCCTTTAAGGGTTTAGGGTTCAGGGGTCTACTTCAAGGCTCATGGGACTTAGTAAGTAAGATCAATAAGTAGGTTATAATGAGGATAACCCCACTTGGGGGATGTATAATTCCAGTTCTAACCTACTTACTAAGTCCCGTGATCCTAAAAGTACTTGCCGGCTCAAGGATGCAATGTGTTAGGGCATAGTTTAGGGATGCTTGGGGTCTAAGGTTCAGGGTTGAACAGCGTAGGGCTTATCCTTCAGTTCTTATTCAGCTGTTGTAGTTTGTCAAGCTTGCCCTCCTGCGTCTTCTACAATGTCTTACTTTTCGGCTAAAGGTTAACCTTACCTTTGGGATCATATGAGGAGTTTTTTGGTCACGATACCCCAAAATGGTTCAAGGCTACCTACTCTACTACTAGGTGATATTGGGTGTTGAAGAGCTCTGTAAATAACTCACATCCTACTTGCTGAACCTAACCACTAAACACTAAACCTAAACCCTAAACAGCTCAACGGGGTCTTCGGCTACCGTAAACTTAGCCATTTTGGTTATATAGGGATTGTATACGGACTGTACTACCCAAAAAAGGTTAAAGGTTACCTACTCTACTACTAGGGTATAAGGTTTACAGGTTTAGGGTTCAGGGGTTCAGAGGTCTCAGGTTGAGGGTTGGAGAGGTGTAGGGATTAGGGTTTAGGGATTGGGGTTTCGGAAATAGGGCTCCGCTGGCCCCTATGGTAAACCACTTCCAGAAAACCCCCCTCAGCCCTCATTCCTAATTCTTCGCATGTCAGTGAGGTTAGTTAGGGATTGAGAACTTAGGGCTAGGGGCTGAGAGACGCAAGGGACACGGAATCCCACGGTTGATGATATAAATCCTGCACTACCCAAAATGAGGAATATACCATTATTCCAATAGTCTAGGGTCGTTAAGGTAATGCAGGATTTATATCATCAACCGCAGGACTAGCCATCCTGTATGGGGGTTTCCGGAAATAGGGACCCAAATATAATATCGTACCCTAAATCGTACCGACGCGTATCAGCTCCAGTCTGGGTTCACCGGCTCAGGGTTCTGTATCGCGTGCCCCCAAAACCTACAGTGGACCCCAGGAAGTTGGAACATGGTTTTTGGGGGATTAGTGCAAGGATCTCTTAGACTTTAAACTTTGGGGCATGAGGATAGTGATGTTCCAACTTTCTGGCTTCTACTGTAAAGCGTTTCCCACTTTCCCGTCGGAATGCGCCAAGCCGCAACAAGCCGTTTCGGTATCTGCGAGTCCACCAACTCCTCGTGCATTTAGGTTGTTGTTCATAGGGTCCCCAAAAAGCACATAAGCAAAAATTAGGATAGTGATATCCCAATAAACCCCCTTAAAAGGAAGCCCAATAATATAAGGTAGGGATATCCCGGTAAAATGCTTATGCTTATGTGCTTTTTGGGTCCCAAATTTCAAAGTGTCGACCCCAAGCCGGAGAAGCAAAGCCCTCTTAAAGGATCATGGGACTTAGTAAGTAGGATATAATTGGGGTTATAAGTCCCCTAAGTGGGGTTATGCTAATTATAACCTACTTCTAACCTTACTTACTAAGTCCCATGAGCCTTCAAGCTTACACTACTGACGAGCCGGACAAATCCAAAACGTGGGAAGTTGTATTGAATCATTGCCCCATCATCACACAGCGGTACAGTACTACTACGTAAAGGCCAAAGGGACTTAGTAAGTAAGGCTTGCTAAGTAAGCTTATGATTAGGATTTACTTATATAGGGGACCATTGACCATTAACCTCTTGTATAACCCTCCTTGCCAAGTCCCGGTGGGACTTAAACCCTGAACTCTAAACCCTTATTATAGTACCCTGGTAGGAACCCCTTCTAGTCAGTGCCCTTGCAGGAACCCTTCTTACCAAGTCCCTTGAGCCTTACGCCTTGGCCAACCGAATGCTAGTGTTATAACCTACTGACTAAGTCCCATGATCGTCGAACCCAAAGGCTCCATGTACCTTTATAGTCGGTACTTAGGCCTCAAAGGGGTCCCTATATAGGTACCTTAAGGCCTATAAGTATATACTATATGGGTACATGGAGCCTTAGGGTAAGTGGCGTCCTAAACATGAAGGACGTATGAGCTTTGTACGGCTTCACGCTTTGTAGGTTTGGGGTTTAAGGGTTTAGGGATTGAGGGGTTTAGGGTTGAAGAGTTGAAGGTTTAAGCGTGTGGGGCTTAGGGGTGGGTTTACAGTTTGGGGATCATGAAACCAACTATTTGGAAAGCTTCACTTTCCACAGCCCCAGATACTAAAATACCAGCCCGGAACCCCAAGCCCAGTGCTCCTGCTTGCTGAAGGAAATCTGCCTGGCCGCAAGCGAATACCACCGTGAGGCTCCGGGACAAAGTTCTATAAAGGGATAGGGATTACTTACAGGATAATGGGACTTAGTAAGTAGGTGGGGTTATCCTAATTATAACCTACTTATAACCTATTACTTACTAAGTCCCATGAGCCTTTGAGTATGGTAGAGGAGTTTAGGGTTTCGGCCTTTTTTAGGGGTTTAGGCGTTTTAGGCGTGTAAGGCTTGAGACTTCGCTCTGATGCCAGGACGGCTACTGGGGCCTCGTGTATTAATTGGATTATGTGGGGGTTTCCGAAAATAGGGGACCCTAATATAGTACCCTAACTCGTGGGATCCTTATTATAAGGACCTCCAAACAAGGTACCCCTAGTTTTCGGAAACTCCCATGTAAGGCTTTGGAGCCAGCCAACTTGAAGTCCCTACGCAACCCACCGCTATCTTCCAGCCCTGACTGCCGTACTGTAGCACATCCACAGCAGCCTGGCCCAACGTTACATACGTGTGCATGCTGACCTCCGCCTGGATCTAGGTCAGTCTTACAAGGCGTTCTGAGGCAAATTGAAGTGGTCATCGCCCCCAATGCCCGAAGCATAGTCACCGGTGACAGCATAATCAGATACGATAACCTCCAGCACGCCAGGCACCGGCGGTATCTCGCATGAGCCCACCGTCTCTTGTGAGTCGGGCGCAATACCAGTCCGGGTACACAGCGCGAAAAAGCAAACGCCTGTCAGCCACCGAGGGGAAAAGCTGTCATAGCGTGGCAAGTCAAGAGATATATGCAAACCTGGACCAAGTGCCCCTTAAAAGTAGGGGCCCTTTACCCTGATACTGTGAACCCCTTTATGTTATATGAACCTTAAACCTTTTCAGGGTCATTTCGTCTTTAAGGAATGGAGAAGTCCCTAAGCTCCCTTGCTAAACGGCGGCGGCCTCCATGCTGAGGGCGGAACTATACCCCTCTTAGAACCAGAATGAGAATAATGGTTTCTATATTCTTTTGGGTTTTATATGAACAACAACAATATAAGAAAAAATCCTAAGGAAACTATAGGGAAGCCCGTAGGGTACATGGATGGCGCGGCCAGGAGAAAGCAAACTTTAGCCGGCTCACAAGCCCACCAAGCAGCAGATCGATCACCTAAACCCCAAACTCTATACCCTAACCCTGAACCCCAAACCTTAAACGAAATTCCAGAAAAGCCTATCTAGAATTCGGATTTGCCGGAGCTGTGCCAAAATACTCGCGCCTCTGGGTTTGCGGCTTGGGTGTGGTCTAGCGTTGTTTTTTCAATGTCTTTTTGAAGGTTTGTCTATTAAAGTATACCTGAAATCGGCTAAGTTTGTCCTAAAGGTTGGTGGGTTGTAGAAAACTGAACCTCCCCGAAGAAGGATTACCAATGGTTCGCGCACCCTAAACTCTGAGCCTGAAGGCTTCCGGTTTGGGGTTCTTGTTTTGCCTGCGAGGGGTTAGGGTGTTGAAGTGTTGGGTTGCCTATTCAAACCCTACCTGTAAGCGCTTAACCTAGACCCTGAACTAGCTGCAGGCTTCAATGCCCCAGATTCGACATACATAGTCACAATAGTCATTGCATGTAGGGCTTAAGGTCCAAAGTCTAGAGAAGCTTCGTCCTTTAATTCTCGGTAAGCTTTATGCCCACTTAAGCTTCCTGAGTACATGCCTACACCTAAACGTCATGACTTTCAGAGTCGGAGGCAAGGTTCAATGCTTTCCAAAAACCGATCTGGATCAAACATTTCTAGACCGAGAACTTAAATCGAGCGTAAACCCATCATGCGAAATCTCAACGGTGTCCAAAATCGTAATTGCACCGAATCCCCAACCCCCCCAGGGCTAAACTTGACGACACGTTCCGAATTTGGCGCTTGGGCCCTTGACAAACGGTGACGGGGTCGCAGCAGCAGCATCAAAGCTGTTCTGGCCACTTCTGTCCCCAACTGCCCTTGTCAGCACCGGGTCGAAATCTAGAGTTGCGGATGGATGCTTATAACCACGCACTGCAAAACCGCCTTGATAGGGAATGCTTTTCCGAATCTGATGAGATCCGCACAGGTTATAGGAGTCTGCAGGTCGGAGCTCATCGGGTTTTGTGGCGGGTTATGGCGGGTTGCACAAACCTTTACAGAGCTATTAACATACATAGATGTTCATACCTGCGTACCTGCATACCTACATACTTACATACTTGCATACTGACATACTCACACACGTACACACTTACGTACATACATGCATACATACATACACCACACCATGCAGTACTACAACATTAGGAACCCGTGGGCACAAGCCTGTTTTACATAAAGTACATCGTTGGGACGGGGTGCAACCACTGAGACTCCAACGAAGTGTAGGAAACCTTGTGGTGGTGGGCGACAAGCCAACCGGCGTGTCTTGGCTTGAGGGCTTGAGGTTTTCTCATGAGTTCCTTTTGTGGAGCCTGGCACAACGCCACACTCTGACATGGCTCTAGTATAGTCGATGGGGTCCAAAACAAAACCCGTAAACCCTGGAACCCCTAAATGAGGAGAAAGAATCCATAATTCCTGTACGAAGGGATGCTGAATCAAGAAACCTTACCGACTGAAAACATCCCTAAACCCCACCTTACAAATCCTGAATTTGCCCCCTAAACTTAAAATCCTAAAACTTACAATTCGAACGACCTGCCGGTGGTAGTTAGTCGTATGTTCCACTCTGGTGCCGATCACGTTGGCTCGAAGATTAGGGTTTAGGGGAAGGCTTTAGGGTCAAGTGACGTCATGGATGCTCGCTGGTGTGTGCACACCCAGGCCCGCACTTGTGCGTAGCAGACAACCCACCCCAAGAGCGCCGTGAATTCAAACAATTTCAGGGTTTAGTTCTACTGTCTTCTGGGCATCCCAGCGGGGCTTAGGCGGTGTCGACGGGGCACGCTAATTTCAACGGGGCTTAAAGCAAAGTCGACATGGCGCGAGAATGTGCGTTCCAAGACAAGCATCTGTGCATTTGGGCTTTCTGTGTCTCTGTCTGTGGCGGGCGCCGGAAAAGGCAATGGCCTTTCGAGACAAGCCGCAATGCATGTGGGATTTCTTAAGTAGAATTTGGTAACAGAAAATTCGCTGCCAGCCTCCTGAAAGGGAACAACCGCCAAATCGGAAGGTTGTTGGGGGGTCCTATCCTTGTCCTTCTGCAAAGCCGCTTTAATTTAAACCCTGAAGGATTCGGGGGGTCCTATGCTTGTCCTTTCGGGAGCCGCGTCAAGTCGTGGAAGGTTGACGGGTGCAACCATTTCGCTGCAGCTGTCGAAATGGGGAACACCGAGTTCGGCCGACAGCCCAATGTAAACGTCACATTTTATGAGCAGAGTTTGGCAACAGAAAATGAGCTGGAAGGGAACTACCGTGAAGGGCTGGGGGTCCTTTCCTTGTCCTTGTGGGAAGGCACTCCATATCGTGAAGGGTTGGGGAGGTGCAACTCTTGTCCTGTGCGGAGTCGCTCCAACTCGCGAAAGGTCCATTTGGGAACCGCTCCAAATCGTGACGGGTTCCAGGGCTGCGACCCTTGTCACGAAGATTTGCTGATTGCTGTGCTTTTGGGAAGCCGCTCCTCAATTGTGAAGGGTTGGTGGGACCGCATCTTTGTCCTTTTGACGGGAACTCCCAGTTGTGAGGTTTGGGAGGGTGCAACCCTTGTCGACGGGACGTGGCTATAAAAAAAACCCTCGGGCTTAGGGTCTCTACCCTTACCACTCCGTAGGAGGTGCCCCAGGATCCGGTGTGCACGATGCCAGTCGCCTGGCTTTACCTAGGCTCCGCGTACGCGTTTTCTTCCGCTCGCGAAGCTCGGGCCACTTCGGGCTCTGCGGTGGCAGTTGTCGAACCCTCAGCGAAGACTTTAAGGATTTTCAAGGTTTATGTTTCAACTTTTACAGTGCAGTGGGTTTCAAAGGGTGTAAGGTTTAAGGGTTGAGGATTCAGGGTTGAGGACTATCGCCGAGAGAAGCCAAATGTATGTGATCTTGAAAGAACCATGGCTCAAATTTTCCTCCTTCCCTTTCGGGGACTTGAAAGTGGCTTAGGGTTTATTATGGTTCAGGGTATAGGGTATAGAGGGTTTAGGGCTCAGGGGTCCGCAAGTCACCAACGGCTGAGCTCCAGATACGGACCCCTAGCCAGAGAGCCCCATGCCCCTTAATTGAGGAATATAGCTTAAATCATAACACTAGGTGCCCACCATTTAAGGTCTATGCCTTCATTAAGCTTTATTGGGTTTTCTGGGATATATATCAAGGACCCTAAAACCTGGCAGCTTAGGCGGCGGCACAAGGAGTCCGTTTTGTCCATGGCCCCATCCTGATGCATCGTAAGACTGTAATGTAGAGTTAAGGTTTAAAGCTTTAGGGCTTTAGTGGTTTATGGTTTCAGCCTGTCGAACTTTAGACCTAGTGCCTACTTTGGGTTTAGGGCTTGAGTCCGAGCGAGAACTCTAATTAATTAGACTGCCAAAAGCTGCGCCTTGACTGGACCATGGATCGTTGAGTTTCGTCCTGCTCCCTAAACCCTAAACCCAAACCCTTCGTCCTGCTGAGCAGTGTTTCCATCAGTCACCAGTTCAGCTGCTGCAGGTTCTGCAGCATCCACAGCTTGTGCGGGACTGGTTCCGGCTTGCGATTTGACCTCCTGTCCCAACCCTAAACCCTAAACCCTAAACCCTAAATCCTAAACCCTAAAACCTAAACCCTAAACTAAGCGAGGGGCCGAAGTCTTCGAACTGAGGGACCGCCGTATCGGGACCTCCTCTAGCGTAGCTATATAATAACCCCAAACCGTGGGCCATTTGCTCTGGTCCCCCCTTTTGGGGGTCATTTAGTCGCGCTTGTCCTTTTCGGAAAAGGACAACCAGCTCTGAATCCTAGATTTTCAACATTTAGTCGCGCTTGTCCTTTTCGGAAAAGGACAACCAGCTCTAAATCCTAGATTTCCAACATTTAGTCGCGCTTGTCCTTTTCGGAAAAGGACAACTAGCTCTTAAATGCTAGATTTTATACATTTAGTCGCGCTTGTCCTTTTCGGAAAAGGACAGCCAGCTCTAAAACCTAGATTTAGGATTTAGGATTTAGGATTTAGGGTTTAGGATTTAGGATTTAGGATCTAGGACTTAGGACTTAGGATTTAGGATTTAGGATTTAGGATCTAGGATTTAGGATTTAGGATTTAGGGTTTAGGATTTAGCCTCCGGAAATTTGGATTTTTGCTGGTGATTTTCAAGTGACAAATTCTGTTCATAAAATGTGCCTTTTAGAGAAGGCCGGTTGCGAATCTCGAGGTCCCCTCCTTTCTTTTCTTGTGGCTGCTCTTAAGCTTCCGGATTTCAATATTTAGTCGCGCTTGTCCTTTTCCGAAAAGGACAACCAGCTCTAAAATCTAGATTTAGGATTTAGGATTTAGGATTTAGGGTTTAGGATTTAGGATTTAGGATTTAGGGTTTAGGATTTAGGATTTAGGATTTAGGATTTAGGATTTAGGATCTAGGATTTAGGATTTAGGATTTAGCCTCCGGAAATTTGGATTTTTGCTGGTGATTTTCAAGTGCCAAATTCTGTTCATAAAATGTGCTTTTTAAAGAAGGCCGGTTGCGAATCTCGAGGTCCCCTCCTTTCTTTTCGTGTGGCTGCTCTTAAGCTTCCAGATTTCAATATTTAGTCGCGCTTGTCCTTTTCCGAAAAGGACAACCAGCTCTAAAACCTAGATTTAGGATTTAGGATTTAGGATTTAGGGTTTAGGATTTAGGATTTAGGATCTAGGATTTAGGCTTTAGGATTTAGGATTTAGGATTTAGGATTTAGGATTTAAGGTTTAGGGTTTAGGATTTAGGATTTAGGATTTAGGATTTAGGATTTAGGATTTAGGGTTTAGGATTTAGGATTTAGGATTTAGCATCCGGAAATTTGGATTTTTGCTGGTGATTTTCAAGTGACAAATTCTGTTCATAAAATGTGCCTTTTAGAGAAGGCCGGTTGCGAATCTCGAGGTCCCCTCCTTTCTTTTCGTGTGGCTGCTCTTAAGCTTCCGGATTTCAATGTTTAGCTTGTCCTTTTCGGAAAAGGACAACCAGCTCTTATATCTAGATTTAGGATTTAGGATTTAAGGTTTAGGATTTAGGATTTAGGATTTAGGGTTTAGGATTTAGGATTTAGGATTTAGGGTTTAAGATTTAGGATTTAGGATTTAGGATTTAGGGTTTAAGATGAGTGTCCCGGGGTAGGATTTAGGATTTAGGATTTAGGGTTTAGGATTTAGGATTTAGGATTTACGATTTCGGACTAATCTTAATGGAATTCGTGGACAACGGGCCCCTGACCGTTACCTCGCTCATTGCAATCGAGTTAAAAAAGCTTGTTCCTCGGCTTATGTAGGCGGGCCCCTCACCGTTACCTCGCTCATCGCAAGGCCCTGGGACTTGGGACCCCAGGTGTAGGTTTACCCCAGCCGTCTTGGTTGCATGATGGGCTTTGCATGGCAGAGGGCCTCAGCAAGAGGCATCCTCGGCCTTGCCTTTTCTGTATCGTGATCCTATGCGGCCGCGCACTTTTTGCCACCGCTCGCGTCCTGTGAGCTTCTCTGTCACCTCTCTCGCTCTCTCTGTGTCTTTCTCCCTCTCTCTCTCTCTTGCTCTTTTTCGTTCTCTGTCTTTTTCTCTCTCTTTCTCCTCGCCCTCTGTCATCTCACGCCACCACCGTTGGTCGCGGCCAGGTCCGGCGGTACCGCTTTATGCCCTGGCCCAGACACGCTGTGTGGCCGTTCTTCAGCACTCCATCCCGGGTTCCGCACCGATCGCTTGGTGGGCCGCCGGTGCCGTTTGAGCTCTTCGAGCCACTCCTTGGCTCACAAGAAGGCGCAGCGAACATTCCCACGTCTTACTGAGGCCGTAGCTTAGGGTCCCAGAGGCCGTCCAACGGCGGCTTGCGCGAGGCTCGCATTGCTGCGGCCACCTGCGCTTCTTCCTGCATGTCACCAGAGATGTACGTTTCACCGAGCAAGGGCACATTTGCCTCCTCCTGCGTGCCAGGCGCGGCCGAAAGGAGGTTCTCCGAGTCCGCTGTGTCCTGCACATGACACGCCGCCTCTCCAGCCTTTCCCGCCCCGGCCTCGCTTGCTCTTCGGTCCGACGGCGGCTTGCGCGAGGCTTGCATCGCTGCGGCCACCTGCGCCTCTTCCTGCATGTCACCAAAGATGTACATTTCACTGAGCACAGGACATCTGCCTCCTCCTGCGTGCCAGGAGCGTCCGCAAAGAGGTCTTCTAAGTCCGCCGTGTCGTTATTCCCTCGTGTACTCTTGGTACACAAAGCCCCGCACGGCCAGCAGGTGGCGAGACAGCGCACCGCGGCTGCAGTGGAGGTGCTCCGCCTGACCGAAGGAAACCATGACGCATCCCGTCGTGTGTGTTCTGTCGAGGGCCCGGCCACGAACTCGAGGGCACCCGTCACGGAAACTTTTTCCAGGCTTGACTCCTTGAAGAGGTCCCGCATGAGGACGGTGGTCCACCAGCCTGGGTCATGGCGTTCAACTATAGGTTGTTCTGTTGCGCAAGCCGATCTAGACAGAGCGCACTTCTTCTGCAGATTCCGACCCTGGGTTGACCGGCTTTGTAGCGTCTCGAGGACGTCTTCCCACAGGACCTCCTCTCTTGGCGGCTCTCCTGGCGATTGTCTCTCCGCCGCTCCGTCGGAAGGACTTCATGAGGCGCAGAGCCGAAATTTTGCGGCTGGCTTTAGGACATGTACTGACCAGCTGACCTGCGCGTCGGCGCTTGTCCGCGCGCGCCGCCGCAGCTAGCCCCTGCCGGCGTGCTTCGGCGTCAGCCAGAAGCACCTCCATGTCGGGGCCTTCGTCTGGCGGCCCTGAGCACAAATTCAAGCGTACAGGGGTGCTCGGCTCCTCCGGAGGGAGAGGTGTCTGCACTGCTGCCTGGAGTGGCTGCTGCCTCGGCGTCGGCCTCGGCCGCTGTTGCCGGTCCTGACCATCGGCGTATGTAGACCAGGGTCGGTATTAGGGAAAGCCTTGCCGGCCACACCTTCGCCTGCTGCTTCCTGGCCTCGAATCGATGCAGCACAATGGACCCCACATTGCAGAAGCAAGGACAGTCGGGGATGCGAGCTAGGGCATGATCGCAGGTGACACGTTCTAAGGACTGCCTGCTGCCGCTTCGGTGCTGGGGGTGACCGCTTCTGGCGGCCCTGACCACAAGTGCAGACGGCGAGAACTCTATACGGCCGGCCCTGGCCAGCAGCGCGAGCCGAGGGTCTCTGACACATGCGAACCGGGCCTCCGCTTGCGGCTTCTGCCTCGGAGCCTGAGATCGGTGCGGTATTTTGCCACAATGTCTGGCTACCGAGTCCGCAGCTTCCGCGACCTCGTCCGCCGGGGTTCTGGTCTGGCGCGTCGAGTGATGACCGCTACTGTGTATTCCGTAAGTGGCCTCCCGGAGTCTCACCCGCGAGGTCGCCGCTGAGGAGGAGACCTCCATTGATGTTCAGAGTGATACCAGAAGCGCGTGGTAGCAGTAACAGCAGCAGCAGCAACAGCAGCTGCAGCAGCAGTGGTCGTCGTCGTCGTCGCCGTCGTCGTCTTCATCGTCGTAGCACAAGTCGTTGCCGAGACCGAGGGAAAGGCCCAGCACAGCCAGTGTTCGGAGCAACGACCTCAGCAAGAGGTTGCCGGTATTATTTCAAAAGGGATTTTTGCTATAAGCCCCCGGCATGGCTTCGGAAGCTCGTTGCCCGGAGGTTTGAGTGCTCGGTCAAGGCGCTGCGATTGCAGAGTCTCGTGTCGACACAATCATGCCGGTGCAATTATAGAATAAGAGCATGGAGAAGGACGACGTTGCTGAAACAGGGATCCTGAGAAGAAGTCTATTGTGACAGGAGATGGAGGAAATAGCTGAACAGAAGAATATTAAATATTTATATATATATATATATATATTGACACATTCGTGTTTTAAAGAAAAAATGCCGGATAGCGAAAAAGTGTCTATGCAGGTCCCTCACCGTTGCCCGTCGAGTTGGATTACTCGCAGGGCCCTGGGACTTGGGACCCCAGGTGTAGGTTTACCCTGCCCTTTGCCAATGCGTGAATAGCTCGAAATTCCTCTGAAAAGTTCGTGGTTTTTGCCGGGTAAGCTTACAACCGTCAACACATAAACACTATCTAGCAACTCCAAGAACGATATATAGGTATATATGACATCATGTAAGAATAGAAATCATGCAGTAGAAAATGAGCCAAGAAACCCTAATGTAGGGTTTAGGATTTGGGGTTTAGGATTCAAGGATCTAGGGTTTAGGATTT